AAAGTTAGATTTATAAGTTGAATCATTTAAAAATTTTATTCCGATGTCAAAATAAATATATGATTAATCATTAGTTAATTAGTATTTTTTTTAAACCTATTTATGTCCCAAGAAACGTTACGCATAAAATTTTAAAACTTTTATTTGGTTACGTCAACATATATTTATTTTTTAACGTTTCGGTCTTTTTTGGCCATTTTCAAACTTTTCTGTTACACTTGTTATATACCACCTGTCCAAAAATTATCTGTAAAATTTTATTTGTCAATATTATTTAGATAAGAACAATTTTTTTTTTTGTCTGTCTGAATTTTTTTGTTGGTAATTATTTTTTTATTTTACTCTTTTCATATAATATATATATTTATGTAATAAAGAAAAGGGATTACTAATTTAATGTTGAAAAAAATAAATATCTGATTTTTAAAAAAATTCTAATTTATAATTTAGGTATAATAATATGTTTATGTTGATAAAAAACCTTTAAATAGATAAATAAAATTACTTGATTTCGGGTACAATATGAAGCTTTGAAGTGTCCAAAAAAAAAAATTTACTCATTTTTTATATAACGCACAGATTTATTCACCAACCAATCCGATGGTGCTCTTTTGCTGCAACGCCATAACTCAATTGAATAAAATTCAAGATTTTACAGGAGCTTTATTTGAACTCTTAAATTCTTTATTGATTTCAGTGAAAGTTTTATCAATGGGTAGTTCTTTTATAAGTCCATGTTTAATATTCTTTATTAATATTTACTTATTGTATTAAATAATTACAGTTATTAATTTCACAATTACTGTAGTTAATTGTTTCAGAAACTATATATTTCTAGATATAATCGGAATTTGTTTTGTTTCATAATTTTTTTTTAATTCATTGTTCGAATTTTTGTATCTCTTCCATAAGTGCTGCCCAAGAAAAAGTGAAGTAATTTTCTTATCTATGTCCTCTTATCATATCATATGTTTGGGACTGTAGGTGCCAGAAGTCGTAAACTAATTTAAAAGGTTGATTACAGTCGCTGATTTGGAACCTTCCGTTATCTGCTCGACCTCCACTGCCTTGGACTTCGTACCTTGCTTGCTCAGGCCCCCAACGCATATCTTGGTCAAGGACCCGTTCGGTGTTAGTTTATCTCTTGAGCGAGCGTAAGGTGAGAGTTACGATTTACGTAACGCCAATAGACTATCGTAGTGAAGCTCTATCTAAAGTTATTAATTTGACATTTCCATTGATGTCGATCCGTTTCATGAATTAAACTGACTCTACGAGTGCTCGATCCATGTGGTTAGGTTTTACTAAAAGCTGAGAGTCCTTATCAGTGGAGATCGCACCGGTATGAGATAACACAGAGGAATTGGGTTGTTGATAGGTAACTAAGGACTGCTAGCGCTACCTGTCGTTATCACATGTGAACCACAACCAGTGTTGCCAATACGGGTATTATTTCCCAATTTCGGGTAATTTTTCTTCCTTGTCGAATAATTTTCGGTTTCGGGGAAAAATCTGATATTTTTATTTAAATGAATTAATTGATGTGGGAAATTTTGGCGTATCTTTTGTGCTGAAGCCTCCCAAAACAGAAAAAAAAATATAAATTTTTTTTATTGGTCCATATAACGGGCGGATCTACAGGGGAAGCTTTTGGCTGAAGCTCCCCCTCCCCCTCAAAATGGTAAAATATAACCAATAATAATATTAAAAAATTATCTCTTAAAGTATAATTATTCGTGTAATTACATTTAAAAGGGCTTTAGGAATCACTTAAACACCAGTTCATATAGGTTGTTAGTTTCTTTCTTATTTTCCAAAGTAATTATCGTTATTTTTATGAAAAAAAAAGCTTTTCAGCTTCCCTCCCCCCCAAAAAAATTAAATCCTGGATCCGCTAGTGGTCCATATTTCTTTCTGTGAGTAATCTAAATAGATATTTCACGAACTATGGGGAAACAATATTACCGACATTATTGCTTAACCAAACAATTTGTTTTATTTTCTTGATTCCAATAGCTGATGGAAAATGTCAAAAATAAGAGACACAAATACTAGCATAGTTAAATGACCATTTATATATTTGTCCCATTGTTTGTGAAATTTCTACACGCACCTTAAGATAAATACTTTATAAATTACAATATTTTCTCTTTTTAAATTATAATGCAGTCCTATTAAATATAAGGATGTCTTAAGAGAAAAATAGAATGCTTAGGCTTCATTTGATATATTTTCTTTATTTTTCTTCTAGAGTAATTACTGTTATACAAAAATATTTTAAAAAGCCCACTCTTCTCCCCCTTCTCACTCCCCCCCCCCAAAAAAAAATTAAACCAGAAAAAAAATTACAGCAGATTTAGGCCAGATTGCTGGATTGTTTAATCGTTATACCCATACTGTGTAATTTGATTTAAAGAAATATGAAGAGAAGTAATTGATGACATCTGGCTCTCAATGATTGTATGGAATTTAATTTCCTCTACCCAAACGAATTGAAATCATCTCTTTAAGAACCATATGTAGGTTTCCTTCCTATTTCAGGAGAATGGAAGAGTTATTTTCTTGAGGAGCTTACTTTTTTCAATCAAAAAGGCATAAAAAGTACTGATGACTTTTATTTGAGTGAAAGGGGTGGCAATACTAATTTTTCTTCCAATCTCTGAAACCCTAGTTTCGATCCTAACGAAAATCCTGCCTGCCACCTGCTTGCTTTGTATGCAGACATGGACAAATACTACTCTGAACATTGAGTACCAATTATTTTACTCCAATACTGACATTTTTTAATTACCAAAAAATTTAATTACTACATCAGTTGATATCAAACGATTAACTGGAGTAGTGATTGAATTATAAATAGTGATTCAATTTGAGTAAAATACTTGGTACTCAGTAGCATTTGTCCATCTCTGTATGTTGTCAATGATCTTCAAATACGCACTTACCTTAACCTATATGTTTCTTATTTTAATGGCCAGTTTTTAAAGTTTATATTTTCATCTATTAAAAAAAATATATTTATTTACTTGAAATGATTGCGAATAATAATATTGTATTTTAAAAAGTAGATTACCAAAAATGCATTAGTTAAATCATGCATAGATATTTTCGAATTAATGGGTGGATAATTTTATTTTAGGTTATCTATCGGTAGTACTGACACCAATAGCTTTTTTGGACAGCAGTAATGAATAATATATCAGTATTTCGATGTTACAGATACTCATACTGTATCCCTCAATCCAATTAGTTCATTTTCTTAAATTATTTTATTTATTAAATTTAAGCAAAGAGAAAATAATAATTTGTTATTTTCATCATTTAATGTGTAATAAATATTCTTCAACCAATGTGATGATATATTAGATTAATGAGAACATAGATCTCTAAATATAGGACCAACTCTTAGTTGATTATGCCAGTCAATAAATTTTAAGTTCATATGCCTAATTGCCACCATATTGAATAATTATTGTGTAATTTCTTTGACTCACTTTGGTTGATATAATTCCAATGTTCTTCAAAAGCTCCTTTCTATTAGCCAGTTGGTTCTCCTCTTCCATTATCATATCTTAACAACTCTCTAGCAGTTGAAGATTAAGAACATATCTTTTGCCTAAATCTAGGTCAAATTTCCTTTGTTAGGTCTCTTAATATGCTGTTGAAAACTATCTCAAAACTATGTTTGCTTATGAACCTCAAACTTATTTAATGATTCTAGAGACAAGTTTTATGCTATATTTTCATAAATGTTTCTTCCTTTTCTGTGTGATGAATTCACAATCGAAGCTGAAGTTGAGCTATGTGAAGTTATTTAAAATGCCATTGAATGGAATACTTTTCTGTTCGTTATCCTTTCCTCTTAATTGAGTTTGCCCTTCCTCTAAAATGATCCCACAAGAAAATAATTTAATTATTCGTAGCAGCTTTACTATCTGTTCCACAGTCGCTGTATTTATCTATAATAAGTTATTTCCACTAATTGTGATGATCTTAATGACACACCTTCCATTTAAGAAGAAGGTTTGTTGGCTATGATGGCCATATTGTTAATTCAATTCAGCATTAAATATCTATTGATTCTGTTTATGTTTTTCTCCGCATGTTAAACAAAATATTTGAAACACACCCATTCTGTTATGTAATCATAATGCGTTAATTAACTACTCCTACAGATTCAGTTTTGTTCATTCTTGAATTCTTATTTTTAAATAATTTTTATCCATTTTTCAGAAAATAGTTATAAATCACACATACTTCTTTTGTATCAAGTTCATGCTTCGGTTAAGAGGTCAAGAGTCCAGGTCTTGTTGGATTTTCTTAAACCTCCTATAAGATGGATAATTTTTTGGAATTAGTCTTGGCCAGTCAGCTAACAGAAACTGGCAACTGATTAGGAGCTTGTTAGATTTTGAAGAATGCAGTCGTTTACATTTAGAACCTGCCTACTGCTTTACCTCTACTTACCACACTCTTGCTGACAGTGGGAAAAGGTTTTCGAGCTCTTCCTTGGGGAAGTTGATCTGCTCTGTCATAACTGAATATAAATCATAATGCCAATCTTTGTAGCCTATTTATTACATGTTGCTTCTTAATTACAATTTGTTATATATTGATTTTCCTGTCACTGTGAATTAATGACGTCTTTTATTAGTAATTCTTGCTATTTTCATAAATTATTTTTCTCCTTTTCATCATTTTTCATTTTTACCTACTTATTACTCTGCAGATAATATTCACCTGAAACGTGTTATATTTTAATTATTATTATACTTCATTAATGATTTGATAAAAATCTGACTTTTATTCGTATCAAAACATTACAAAGAACAATTAGATAATTATTGTTTTTAATTAATTAATTCACTGTTTTGTTCTTCTTTTCAATATTTATAAATAACATGAGTACTTATTATCGCATGACAATGATATGGCAAATTTATGATTAATGCTTCAAATTCAATTGTTCGATTATTGAATCCACATTTGTTTTTCCATAGCTACAACATAGCTGCACTGATTGCGAATGAAATAGTATCAGATATAAAAACAGTATGCACACAACAGACAGATGCGGAGGACCTGAGTCTCCTGAGGGAGCACCTGCTGTCGGGGAGAGGCTGGAGGGGTCTTGCCCTTCTTCATGCGATTGGTGTACAGGTGAGTCTTGAGCCAACAAATGTTTTTAAAACCTTTATTGAATTGAATGTATTTATTCATAAACCCACTTCACTAATCAAAAAGATTTATATAAACCAGCTGACTATGAATTATATTTCTTTCAAGTTGAATCTGAAATTTAGTTTTCAACTTTCTTCTTCTTCTTCTTTTTTTTTATCAATATCAATTTCATTTTTTTTTAGGATGTAACTTGTGGTGTGGATCTAGCAGGACTTTTAATTTCTGCATACAATATCGTAGATGGCAAAGAAACAAAAGAAAAAAATCCGTATGTGATAGAAAAGTCAGTTCCACCAATTGAACAAGTATGTCGTTTTCGCATACCAGTACGCCATAAGCCACGTTCATTTTCTCATTCAAGTGGAATAGAGGGAAGTCCACCATCTAGAAAGATAAGTACTTCTTCTTCCGTCCACACGAAAAGATCTCTAGTCAAACAAGAAAGGCAAAAGAATTCCTCTGAATCGGATACACTTGAAAATGAAATTCATAAATCAACAATCTCTGTAAAAATACGCCTTGACCCAATGGATTTTGATTACTTTACATCTATTGTGAGAAGTGATGATGATGAGAAAAAGAATAGCTCATCTTATAAACCTGGTGTGTTGAAAAAGAAACCAAAGAAATTAATTCCTCAAGATTTTAAGGATGAATGTATATCGAAAGTTTTCCACCAAGGAATGAGTTTTATTCAGTTTCGATGCTTAGCCATTGAACTTCTACGCTCTTTGTGTCAGTCCGAATGTTCATCAATGACTGTATCTGTTCAGTCTTTTAATTTTTCTTTAGAGCATTTGTGCACTTTGCAGTTCAGTTTACCGCCAAACAGTGATAAAAACCATTATGATGTTAAATATGGAATGACAAGACTTTTTCTCTCAGCTCTTGATAAAGTTATTCTCGATCAAGAATCAATGAATTCAATTGTACAGAAAGGAGCTTTACCTATGATGCTACGTTTATTAGAGGACGGAATCATCAAATCTCAGTCCAACAAAGATGATTGCGCTTTATCTCAAGACTTTATATTTGGTGTAATTTATGCTGTTATCAACTTCATGCATAGTTTACTCCTTCAATATAATGCTCCTGACAAATCAATATTTTTTTTAGGGCATTTTCAACAATTTTTAAACAGCAATAATGGCCGTATCGTTGATAAAACTGTAATGTGCATTTTAAAATCTAGGAGTATAGATGAAAAAATTGCACTGAATAGAGTGAAAAAAATAATTGGACTTCTTAGTGAACTAATTTTGTGTTTGAAACAAACAAGAACAAAGCTCGTTCATTTAAGAAGTTGCAAGAAGTTAAAACATAAAAATTGTATTTACCCTACAGTTTCTCATCACCATGATAATCTTTTTGGAAGCATTTATACTAATACCATTTTACCCTCTCCTGGTGCTAATGAAATGAATTGTACAATAACAACCCTCTTTATGATTTTCACAAGGTTTTTGTCTGAAAAAACTGGGAAGGAAGTTGCCATCAGAACAATGCAAGCCATGATGCACTGCGGGACTTGCTGTTGTTTTCCAGCTCCAATGCTCATATCGAGAATTCTTCAAGTCATTCAGCAGTCTGACAGTAGAGTACGAAATTTGGGTTTGTTTTTGTTAGAAAAAACTATTTATAGAGAAGTTGGAGCAATTGACTTTGTTACCATGTGTACTGTTTGTATAAATGTAGAAGAAAAGGATACAACTTTAACTGAAATCACTAAGCATCGTTGGGCTTGTCTTGAAGCATTTCAAGATATGCTACTTTCTTCAAACTACAAGTTTGCTTTTACAATTGGCTCACACTTATTAAGAGTAACACCTAGATGCAGTTTTCAAGTTCAAAGAGAAATGTTCTTTGGTGTTTTTTACCCAGTTTTTATTACTACAAAAAATCGTTACCTTTCTTCAAATTCTGAAAAAGATAAATTTACAATGCAGCTGTGTTTATCTGCTTTTACAAATCTTCTTAACAGAATGAGATTTTCTGAAGAATTTATCGAAAGAAAAGCCGTCGCACATATATTTGAACTTATAAAAGATAAAAATTTCATAGAACTCTGCTGTTTAATATTAGAAATTTTGATAATTGTTCATGTTTGGAAGCTAGAAAAGGATGGAGTTTTTGATATTTTGGAAGAAAATATTTTGGAATTAAAAACTCTACTGGAATATGTAACAGAATCTACAAACGCATTTCTTGAAAAGCTTCAACTGAATTCTAAGAAAGATGAAAATAACGAATTTTACTTTCAAAATGAAGAGGATTTAGAAGATTATATAAAAATTTTGGAAAAATTAAATTATTTTTGGAGGAGTTGGATGAATCTTTGCCTTTATAGTCCTCAAGTCCAGGTTTATTTCAATCGTCATTTGAGTTTAAGTTGCTTTACACTTCTTTCGTTTCTTCTTCAACATTTTTCTAGGACCATCAAAATGAAAGGTATGAATGAAATTTTCAAGTCACCTTTTTGTTTTTAAAAATTAAGATAGCTTTCTTTACTATATTTTTAATTGAATTTTTATTAGACCACTCGAAGAAAGAAATTCTTATGGATAGGATTAACATTTTGAACCAGTTGCATTTAAAAATTATGGAATCCTTAATTGTTTTAACCGTGGAATCACCTTACTCTGGAAATCCAGGTAAGACTTTTTTTTTATTTTGATTATTTGTTTTTAGTGACATAAAGTTATCAAAATATTTTTTTAGTTGTTTTTGTTGATATTATTTATGAGATGAGTAATTTAAAATAACCGTTTTAATTAGTAATTTAAAAATACTTTTTTCTTTTTTTTTTTAGTCAAAATATATACCGTTTTGTTCTATAACTGTTTGTTGCTATTTTGAGCTGCCTTTCAAATTCCTTCACAATACTGATCTTAGAGTTTTGAATGGAAGAATTCTACTTTTTTCCTTGTCCAATGAATTGAAGATTCTTCCTTGAAGGGGCAGTGAGTGATCGATTTGTCAGTCAGAAGATGATAAGTCCAAACAGTATGCATGATACGGTTGAGTTATATCATCTAGGATTTATGATGAATTCGAGAACTTATACATATATCCATTGCCAATTACCATTTACTTTTTGATGGTTCTGCCTCAACATGGTATGGTGCATCATAGGTTCCTCATCTAATGATGATTTTTGTCTAGAACTCTCTTTCATATTGAGGTTACAGTCTGAGTTTCATATTTCTGGAATCATCTACCCATATCTGTCTGGAAGAGTATCGCTCTCAAATTGCTGCTCCGTACAGGTTTTTCCAGCTGTAAAAAAACTTATGAAAATGAGAATAAACCTGTCTAGTGGATTACAATGTCCAATGCAGATTACAATATCTTAACTTGATTTGTTTGGGTTAAGTTGAGATTGGGAATCCTGCCCATACACGTTTTTTGTCTCTATATTCTTTATTCGCTGTCATAGGACTGAGTTATTCTTGTGTTTGTTCATTTTATTACTGAAAAATGTTATATACAATATGATCATAACTTATATTATAGTGAAGATATTTGGCTGTAGGCCTTACCTGATTGTAGTGGAGACTAAAATACACAAGCCAAAGTAATCATCATACAAATTCAAGTAGAATTAATCTTGTCTCTTCTTCTCTTCTGTTTCATCATTCTTTACTTCATGGATCATACATAGTTGGCTGGTTAGTTCATTATGGATTATGAAAGGGAACAATTTATATTTATAGGTGGTGTATATAACCTGAAGGAGAAACTTAAGAAGGTTGTAGAGGGAGGTGTTGGCCTTCGTGCTGTCTGTGATCTGCTTATTAGAAGTGCTGGTGCTACTGCCAGCAAAAAGACAATGATACCAACCCATCCTATGCCTAAGGTAGATTGCTTTCTCTATACTCAAATATATTTTTAGTGACTTTATCCTCATTATTAATTTTAAAAATACATATAAACATACCTGCGGGTATTTGGGTACAATAAGTTTACTGTTCAGGAGAGCTTGAAAACATTTTGATACTCTTAATTATCATTAGTACTATTATTTTCCAGGATATTTCAATTATATTTTCTTTTCTTTTTTAATTTAATCTAAGTAATTTTCCTCTATTTTTATGAATTAGCATGAAATTGTTTTAAAAGCATAAAATAAAATAATGGGTTGTGGCAGATGTTGAGATTAATTCTTTGCCTCAATCTTTTCGTTCAGGGATTGTTTCCTTTTTTAACCATAATACTAAAAGTGGATGGATATCAAATCAAATATTGATTTCCAGTGAAACTTTATTGTATTTTTTTTTTAATTTTCCTTATTCTAATTTAAAACTTACTTTAATAGTTTTTACTTTCACTTACCTATACATACAATATATAGTAAGGGGGTAAGTATTGCGATCATGAAAATTTTCGAGTCTGAGTTTTCAACAGAAGTACATGTTTTGAGGTCTCCTGAGTCCAAATAACCAAGCATTTACATAAAACAAACCTTCTTTTCTTAAAATTTATAAATATTAATCATTAAACAGTTGGTGTTAAATTTGAAAATGCCTTCTCGCAAGCGGGACAAGAACCTAAAGCTATAATATTAGGACCTAATGCTTAATAATTAAAAGTTATTTTAATTGGATTTTTCCATGATCAACTTCACAGACAGGTTTACGTTTACATCAAGTACACATTTTCATCAAAATTGACAAATCGGAAGTGGTACTTTATATAATTGATTTAATACATTTTTATGATTTTCTCAAAAACGGCTCTAAACGATTTTGATTAAACTCAGTATATTATTAAGCATTTTTTAATATAATGTAGGTTTTATTCTCATTGATATTCTCTATCAGGGCTTAAATGGTTAATTTTCAACATTGACTTCCTCTAAAGTACGTTAATTTTTTTTATATTTGAAATAATTAACCATTTCACATTAATCTAAAAAAAAATAAATGGTTAAATATAAAATATGAAAGAATTTGATAATTAACCAAAGGAAAAATAAGAGATCGTAACGGATAATAGTTGTAATAAAGAAATCAAAGGAATACAACGGAATGTAACATGAGCTTCATATAATACTAACTCCGACAATATAATGTTCATAAACATATGAGATTTTCATAAATGCTATTTTTGGTATTATTTAATATTTAATTGTAAAGAATAAGGCGATATAAAAAGTAAAATTTGTATATCTATAAGGGTATTTAAACAATTAATAATACCCACAATGAATAGTAAATAAATATAGCGTCAATAATTTTTACTTTCACTTCCCCTTTGTCTGAAAATACTTATTTCTGCTAAGAAAAGGATGGTAAGTGAAAGTCCTGTGATGCGTGCTCCAGATTTTTTTTAAATCAAATCTCTTATCCAGAAATGATTGAGATAAAAAAATGTTACCTATTTCTCATTTTCATAATATTACATTTAATCTAATTTGTGATTGTTGTTTTTTCTGTTATAAAGGATTTTTCTTTTGATGAATATTTTTATCTTTAATTTTTCAGTTGGAGAGTTTCGAAGTCAGTCTTGCCAATTCATTAGAAGAATGTAATTCGGAATCTTCAATCGAAAACTCAGCTGATGAAGGTTATGATGCTGACGTTGATGCTCCACATCGTAAAATACCCGTAATTATTATTACCATCATTCTAATTAATATAATGTATTTTTTCTCAACAAGTATATTTTAAAAAAATATAAATTAAATATATCTTTTTTTAAATTATAGATTGATTTAATTATGTTCATTTTTATACTTTAAAGATAATTAAGTAGCATATTTAATACAAATTATAACATTAAATTGATCCTTATACCTTATTTGGAAGGTTTTGTAAGTTTAAACCACTTCTTTCTCCAATATCAGGTTTTAAGTTTGTTGTATTCATTACATGATTTATAAAGTTACCAATAATGTTGCACAAAACTTGTTGTATTGTTAGTACGATCAACTCCTCATGTAACTACAATTTTTATTAACGTGTATTATGGTAAAATTATTAGAAATCTGAATTCCATGTACATTTACCATACATTGATTTATAATCATAAAACTATTCATTATAGTCTAGATTTATTTGTGGCTATATAAATACTGAATTATGCATTTTTCAATAAATAGATTAGTTTTTATTAAACAACTTATTTTTAAAAAAAAATGATCATATTTTTCTCTTTAAAATTTGAAAGGAAAAGGAAAGTAGCAGCTTTAAAGGAAGCCTCCCTCCAAGTAGAAAAATATCAACCGTTTTCGGAGAAAGGCGTATTAGTCAGGTGACACATCCAGAGCTATGTCATCTTGCACTTCACCTTATTGTTCACTTATATAGGTTTGTTAAGTGTAATGCCTCAAAATTAAACTTGAATCCATATTGTATCTGCAAAAATGTATTCATATTTTTAAATCTAGAATATTGTTTCCAAAACCTTAACTTTCTGTTCAATGCTGTGAATAGTCTTGCACGAACAAGTAATTTATATTTAATTTTAATGTTTTATTATTAGTTTTTAAGTATACCAGCTGACAAAATATTCATTTGATGAAGAAAAAAAATTAAATTAATATTTTGTAAAGTGTTGGAATGAAGTGGGTTGTAAATAGTTGCCAAATGACCTCTTAGCAGCAACAAATGATTTGTTAATGCTCATTTAGTTTTAATTACTATACTAACAAATTTATTTTTAAATTAATTAATTTTAAAAATATATAAGTATATCGACATTACAAAAAGTCATTAAGTAACATTTGAATGAATTTGAAGTTTCTGATTCATTAAAAAAAATAGCTATTTATTTTATTATTTTTTTTTTTTTTGTCACTCTAAATATATATTTTTAATTTTAGATATGCATTCTTCTTCCAGCAATCAATTATAATACTTAATATATACATAATGAAAAACTGAAACCATGGAGAACATAGTGATTTATTGCACACTATCATAGTTATGCAAAATACTTACTTTTATAATCTTTCAAATACATAGAATGTGATTTAGTCTTACCTGACTTAGTTAGTTTTATTAAATATCTGATCAATTAATTCAGTGAAAGAAGTCATAAAGTACTAGATAGTGAATTTTGGCGTTCTACTTTAACCTTATTTAGAGAACAAGAATTTCATTAAGTAGCTTGATGTTTTCTACAGCTTCGTGTTGTCATTCTTATTTTAAAATTAAATATCATTTTAAAATATTATTAATAATATTTAATAAAGGAAACTATATATTTTAATTACGCAATTTATATATATATATACATATAATTTAAAAAAATGGTATATTAAAAGTAATCCTATGTTAAGACTATTGGTATATTATTTATTCCAGGGATGAAAAATGGTACAAGGAAGCAATACATAGCTTGCATAAACTTAGTTCCATCCTCAGAGATAATCAAGAGAATTCTCTGTTGCTTTCTCAGTCTGGATTCACGATGAAGCTTTTGAATCAGTTTTCCGATCTTCTTTCTGTTGATAGCCCTGATAAGTGTGGTTAGTCAAGCATTTTCTTTCTTTATTTTCCTTCTTTCGAACTCAAGCACTAAATTTTGATACTTTTCTGATCTATGACCTAGAGAATAATTATGATGATGATCTATAGGATATTTGTCCTCAGTTAACATTTATATCAGTCTTAATGACTGTTGAAAGAACTTAGTAATATATAAAGAAGAGAAGAATAGTTGGGGTGGTCAGTCAAGAAGGAAGGCAAAAATAAATGATAATATTTATTTTTTACAATGTTTTAAAATTAAATCAATTAATTAATTTAAAAAATTTTAATTTTAAATATTATCATTTATTTTTGCCTTCCTTCTTGACTGACCACCCCAACTATTCTTCTCTTCATTATCCACGACAGTCAACCAATTACCAATTATTAGTAATATATAATTTACTTAGGCTAATATTGTTCATTCGTCATGACTCCTCTACATTATTGTGAAGCATTTATTAGCTTATTACTACCATAAGGAAATCAAAAGAATTTTTGATCTTTCTTAAATAATTCTACTAATGAGTTCTTAGTTATCGAAACCATGATCTGAAATGGGAGAAACAGCCATTGATCATGAATTTTTAGACTAATAATTTCATTTTTCCGTTAGTACTTAGCAACAAGTATTTGAAGTATCGAGATTTTATATTTATTTACTAAATTATAGGCTCATCTTATTTTGTTTTCAATTGTTTATTTCGTTCTGCGCATGCGCTTGATTTGAATACCCACATTTCATGTCGTGTCCCACAGTTTTACTATTTTTTAGTAGAATAAGTGCTCAGTTTTACTTTTTTTAAAAAAAACTAGTTAAGCAGACATCAAAACAACAACAATGGACTAACACCACAGTGAGTAGTGTTGTTATTTACTGTGTACTATTACAGACAGTGAATTTAGTGATTTAGCGTCTATAGGCTTAATCTCTATAGCCATAACAGCTGACGGCTCCCCTCTCCAGTTGTGGCTCTGCCACGTAACTGGCTGTTTCTCAGCCGGTGGTTCATCCATTGTAATAACACGCAGACGTAGTTTTATTTATTTATTTATTTTTTTTTCCCTTTCTTTTTTTTTATATGCGATATTACACCAAGTAATGTCAACTAAGAGGTCCCATTCAGTTGGCTCTACCCCACGTAATTCACCGCCTAAACAGAAAACACGTCGTAGTAAGCGATTAACACCCCCCGGAACTCCTCCAGCGAACACTCAAGAATCTGTGTCTCAACCACTGCCAAGTACGTCTTCACAAGAAATGGAATCTCCATTTTTTACACCTAATCCATACCAGGTGCTTGAAAATGACAGGGAAGAAATGGAAGATGCACCTATACCTCGAGAACCACGCCCACCTCCTATCTTTGTCAAAAATTTGAGAAATTTCCAGTTGTTGTGTACTCAACTTAATAAAATCTGCCCAGGTAGCTATACATGCCTAAACAGAATAAACGATACAAAAATAATACCGGCCACACCTGAAGCGTACCGAAAAATCGTAAAATATTTAACAGACACAAATGCGGACTTTCACACATACCAGTTGAAACAGGAAAGAGCACTACGAGTTGTAATAAGAAATTTACACTCCTCAACCCCAATAGAAGTGATTAAAGAAGAGTTAACGGCGTTAGGGTTCAAAATACGTCAGATAACCAATGTTTTAAAAGAAAATAAAGAACAACCAGGTGTAAAGAATAAAATCCCATTGCCCTTATTTTTCGTCGATCTAGAGCCATCGCCTGGGATCGAAAAAATATACGATGTGAATAGAATTTTCTACACCAGCGTAAAGGTCGAAAAACCGTACCCAAAAAGAGAGTTCATCCAGTGCCATAATTGCCAAGCATATGGCCACACCAAGTCTTATTGCCACCACTTACCACGCTGCGTGAAATGTGGTAAAACACACAAGTCTGGCGAGTGTAATAAACCAATTACAGAACCAGCAGTCTGTGCCCTATGCCTGGAAGGCCATCCAGCCAACTACAAAGGCTGCCAAATTTATAAAAATCTTAAAGCGAGATATATGAAACCCAGGGACCCTGATGATACACCTAAACCAAGAAGAGGACCCGCTAAAATTGTGAACTCTAAGGTTTCTTTTGCCAAGCTACTTGGGGGTAGAGACCCGACTAATGTATGTGAGGCCCTGCCGCAAGAACAAACTCAACCCCAATCTCAATATCCTATCCCACCTAATGTACCTAATCAACAACAACCTCACCAACATCAAATCCAATATGTTCCTCCACCGCCTAATGCTACAGATCTAACCAGCTTATTGACATCCTTTCTTTCAGAATTTAAATCCCTTGTTACCCCACTGATATCACTTCTCACTAACCTAGTATCTCACCTTATCCCTCCTTTAAAAAATCCTTAAATGACTTCCATCAAACCCATATCCATTCTCCTTTGGAATGCGAATGGTGTTAGAAATCACATACACGAACTAACAGCCTTACTACAAGACAAGAACGTAGACGTAGCCCTAATAACGGAAACTCGACTGACTAAAAAACAGCTCCTAAAAATACCACAATACATAACTTACCGTACCGACCATCCTGACGGTAGAGCACATGCCGGTACTGCAGTCATTGTGCACCAATCCCTCTCCCATCACCTACTCCCACTGCCTACACACGATTTCCTACAATCCACCGCAGTCGTAATCAAAACCTTCTCCTTTCCTATTACCGTTGCATCAGCGTATTGCCCTCCAAACCAATCCATCTCCAATATCCAATTTAGTTCCTTCCTCATTTCCTTAGGACATCATTTCATCTTGGGTGCAGACTTAAACGCCAACATCAACAATGGGGTTCAAGAACCACGAATTCTCGTGGTCGAACATTGCTGTCTGTACTCAATTCCCAAAATTTTACCCTTCTTCCACCCAACTCACCTACCTACTGGCCCACTGATCCTAACCGTAATCCCGATATCCTCGATTTCTTTATCCATAATGGTTTAGGTGCTCTCAACCATTCCGTTGCCCGTCTTGACGAGCTTTCCTCAGACCACAGCCCATTAATACTCCAAGTATCACTAGCTCCTATTCCTAAACCCTCTCCTCCGTCCTTCATCAGAGGCCCAGTTAACTGGAAACTCTTTCATCAAATCCTCTCCGATAAAATTGACCTCAGAGTAACCCTGAAAACCTCTGAAGACCTGGACAATGCAGTACATTCCTTCACTACCAAAATTCAAGAAGCAGTCTGGACTGCTTCCTCCCCTGATCACTCCTCAAAAATCCTTAAGAAACATAATTTACCTCAACACCTCCTTGACCTAATCCACATAAAACGCCGTGCCAGATTATTATGGCAACGTACCAGACATCCAGCCGACCGCCACTCCTACAATTATCACTGTAAAAAATTAAAAAAAGAATTAGCCACCTTCAGATCCCAATCATTCAATTCCTACCTCACCACACTCTCTGCTCATGATAATTCCCTTTGGAATATCACCAGAAAAATCCTCAAATCCCATCATATTTCCCACCCTCTTCGACGAGATGATGGCTCCTGGGCAGCATCTGATGAAGATAAAGCCGAGGAATTTGCCAAACACCTTTCCTATACTTTCGCTCCTCATCCAGAATCCCATCCCAGCCACACAGTAAAAGTAGAAGAATCCCTCTCAATACCTATCCCACTCTCCTTACCACCTAAAGCTGTTAATCCCTCTGAGGTCAAATACCTTTTACGGAAAATCACACCTCGCAAATCTCCTGGATATGACCTTCTAACCCCACAGATCCTTCGACAACTTCCATCTAAAGCCATCACATTTCTTACATATATATACAATTGCATCCTACGAACTACCCACTTCCCTCTTTTATGGAAACATTCCACCATCGTCCTCTTCTTGAAACCAGGCAAACCTTCCAACAATACAGCATCCTATAGACCAATTAGCCTACTCCCAATCCTCTCAAAAATTTTTGAAAAGATCCTACTGAAACGAATCCTACCTATAATTGAATCCTATAACCTTCCTACTCATCAATTCGGATTTCGTTCCCAACATTCCACTGTCCAGCAAGGACTCCGAGTTGTTGACCATATATCCTCAACCCTAGAAAGCAAGCAGTATTGCTCGGGTGCATTTCTGGACATAGCGCAAGCTTTTGACCGGGTATGGCACGCCGGATTACTCTTCAAGCTTAAAATCCATCTACCACAGTCCTTATACCTAGTACTCCGATCCTATCTTTCCGACCGCTCCTTCCGAGTTCGCTGTGGCACCGAATTCTCCGACTGTTACTCAATTGAGGCTGGCGTTCCTCAAGGCAGCGTCTTGGGCCCCATCCTTTACATTCTCTTTACCGCTGATATTCCTGTCCATCCCGATACCCTCCTGGCAACTTTCGCTGATGACACTGCTATCCTTTCTTCCAACTCAGATCCTGAAACAGCGTCCGCAAACTTACAAAGGCACCTCTTCCTGATTGAACACTGGTGTAAGAAATGGCGCATTAAGGTAAACGAATCTAAATGTAAACACATTACCTTCACCCTTCGGCGTAATACCTGCCCACCAGTTTATTTTAACTCCATCCAGCTTCCTTTCTCAGATACAGTCCGGTATCTTGGCTTTCTCTTAGACAGACGACTAACATGGAATCCACATACTCGACTTAAAAGACAGGAACTTAACAGACGATATGGCCAGCTATATAGACTACTGAATAGAAAATCTAAACTTTCTGGTGAAAACAAATTACTGATCTACAAGACAATACTGAAACCCATCTGGACTTACGGACTAGAACTATGGGGAACAGCCAAATTTTCTAACATCAAACGCATTCAATCCTTTCAGTCTAAAGTCCTCCGTACAATAGTCAATGCTCCCTTCTATGTAACCAATAAAACCCTACATCATGACCTTAATATCCCATTTATTCTTGATCTTATCCCAGCCAAATTTTCCAAATTTCACCAGAACCTTTCTCATCACCCAAATCCCGTTGTACAATCCCTATCAAGCACCACCCATCCCTACAATCCCCTTCGTAGGTTAAAGCGGCAGTGGCCACGAGACCTTTTGTAAATATGGATATTTTGGAGTTCTAGCAATGGCCAGATTCTCCACTCAAGTCATGAGTGTCTGTGGCTGTAGCGCTCTTACTCATCCTCCGCTGGTTTAAAATACCAGTGAAGTGGCTGAGGGAGAAGCGTAGGGATCTCCTAGCCTCCCTTTTCCCTCCACATGTGGAGGGGACAGGATTGGTTCGGAGATCACCTGGCAAATTGTAAATAATGTATGTTTTATATAAGGTGTTTTTTTACTTTTATTTCTATTTTTATTTACTTATGTGTATATATATTATTTTTTTTCTTTACTCTTTTGTTCTTTCTTCTTATTCTTTTGTTATTACTTTATTTATTTATATTTTTGTATATACGGTATGAATGCAATCTCTGAACTCTATTATAAGTGTCCTTAACTGTGACAAATTGTAATATTTCTGAATAAAGTGTTTTAATAAATTGTTTATTTGTTTTCAATATAATTAATCAATCTTTCTGAGAATTTGTCTAAATAATTTTTATTTTATTTATTATTAAATTATATACAGTACATTGTAAGAAATGGGAATATAAATTTATTTCTGTAAATTTGGTTGTGTTAAATAAGGTCATGAATATAATTGTGGTATATTTTATTTCACACTTGAAATGATTGCTTCTGTGCTTTACTTTCTACATTTATTAAGATTTTCGATGATGGTCTTGCATTCTCAGTGTAAGAAATAAAATAATAATTTTCATTATCAAACAGAAATACAACCTCTATAATTAATTATGAACATTTTGTCTGAAGCTGACCAATTATAGCATTTCATTGTTCCAGTTCTCTTTTAAATTTAATGTAATGAAATGAAGGAATAGCGCTTTGAGTTTTACAGTTCAGCCTTTTAAGATCCTTTAATTATGTTTAATTTTTTTTTATGTACTGTATTGCTGAACACTGATATAATAATGAGTTTTTAATTAAAAATAGTATTTATTTTTCTTTGAGTATTTATTTATTATGCTTGTGTGGTCCAGCTTGAAAAGAATGAGCTAAAAAACAAAAGAAACTACTAAAAAAGAAAAATCCAAAAATCGAGAACTCTGAAACCTTTCAATTTCGATAAAATGTTATTTTACATCTTAACTTTCAATGCCTTAAAGATTATTTAAGGATTCAGTTTACATCTTCTTTAAATTGATATAAAGTCTCTGACAACTAGAATAGAATCTGTGTCAAATTTAGCAGAGAGGAATTGGAATACAATATTATTTAATTTTTTTTTTTATCTAGTACAGATTTCGTTAGGGTGTGAAATATGTTTAAATTATTGTTTTGTTTTCAGAAATACAGCTAGCAGTTCTTGAATTATTTGGTTATCTTGCTAGACATTGTATTCAGCCTCAAGAACTGGCGATATTTATAAAGTATTTTATCAGCGACAAGCCTCCACTGGTAAACATTGTGTATCTTATACATTATATTTATTATTTCAAAAGTATTATAGTATTTTTTTTTTTTAGTGTGATATGGGTTAATTATGAATCTTAACTACTTCTTATCATTTGTATGGACCTTAGGCTTAAAAATATTTTTTTTTTAATATTACAAATAAATGCAGTTATAAATAGTGGAAGCAAATAATTTTGTCAATAATTTAAAAAAATGGTTTGTCAAAATTTCTTAACTGTATTTGACTGCACATCCTGACCAATTTTCATCCTTAAAATTTCAAAAGTCATCTATATATCCATCAAAATTAATTCATATTTTTTTTTTTATTTATTTTTTTTTTTTTATTATTTCAATGGAATTTACAACTGTATTACATAGAGAATACAATAAGTAAATGAGAAATTTGTAACATGGCATGTACAACATGAAGAGAAACTACCCATTGGTAGAACTCAATCATATTTTTTTTAAAACATATTTAACATACATGTTTACTGTATCTCAGTAACATGTTTACTGATTACTTAAAAAATGTGATCTGATTAATATTCTGTTAAAGTATCTTTTTTTTATAAAGCGCGTGCCCTTTTTTAAAAAAAAAAAACTTTCATTGTTATTAGAAATTAATTCATAGAAATATTATCAGAGACTAATCAAATCATGACAATTATTGTTGATTTGTAATATTACCCTATTATTCTGTTGTCATAAAATATAGACATATAATCAATTCTTATAAAGAGATATAGCAGTGGCTTTTCATGACAGAACAGAAACTGAAAAATAAACATAAATTGTATATCTCAATAACTTTAAAAAAAAAAATTATTTTGCTTATTATAAGTGATATTAACCATTATCATTTATGTGTTTTTTTTTTTATTGTTAGCTATTATAATAATTATTACCTTTGTTTCTGTTTATAGAAACTATTGCTTCCTTGCCTCATCAAGTTAATGAGCAATAATGGCCTACAACCTAGACATACTATTAATTTCCCTAAAGATTATTCTAATTTGAATGTGGCATCTTCAACAGCAGCCCACAAGCTGGGGTTGACTCTCCATCAGCAACACATGTCTTTAGGTATACAGTTATGATTGTACATCTTTAAAACTTTACATCCCCTTCATTAATGGTTCACAATTAAATGTCCTTTTAGATTTGTTTTGGTAAAGAGAATTTTATGTTTTCAGGTTTGACCAGCTGCTGGTCGAGAGCTGCTATTATGTTACCTTTAAATGCTGAACTTGGTTGGGCTATGTGGGTTCAAGGATTTTCCCTATCCTTATGGATTCGAATTAATCCTTCATCGATGTCTTATAACTTAGATGAAAGTGAATGTAAGCTATTGATTATTTTATACAGTTAAAATTATAGGTTTTACTAATCACTTTTTAATCTTAGAATAACCTTATTATTAACATCTTATTAAATAACTTTATTATAAAAAAAATTATTTGGTTTTATTTCCTAATGAACTTTTCCAGTTTGGTTTTTGTAATTATAAAAAAAAAAATGGTTTTATTTTCCAACATTCATACTCTTTCTAACATTGATTGTTTTTGTTTATCTCTATTACAGTGTTATTTTCAAATCTAGAAGTTGGTAAATTTAGATTTTTTTATGTTTTTCAAATCCGTTAACTATAGAGTTTTAAATAATCAAAAATTGAATTCAAGCAGAAAGCCTTTATAATTAATGTTTTACTTCCTCTTTATTTAGGCTATGCAGACAGCACAAGCTCCGAGAGCGGCCATAGTTCGGGCTTGGACGATATTAATATTGAACACCTTCTTCATATCATATCAATCGGTTATGAAGCATTAGTATTGGAGTTTTGGGCAGATGGACAGAGAGGTAATAAATAATTTATTAATGTTGGTATATTATAGAATGAATTAAGGTTCACAATAAAAAATATGGTCAAAAAAATTATCTCTATTTTTTAAAAATTCTTTAAAATAAATATCCAATAGACAATTGGTTACAAATTAAAAATCTTATTTTAGTTATGAATTATGATTAATGGTTGTGACAAAGATGATTAAAATAGTTGTTCCATGGAAATAGATGTTTAAACTCCTGTCATACATGAAGTTCTCAGTAGTTACTTATTATCAATAGGGAAGAGGTTCTTCAAATGTTAAATTATACTGTACTCTCTACTTAATATCCTCTAAATTATTCCATTCTATACTTATGCCATCATATGTTAATGTGTAACATTATCGAATTAAATACTTCTTTTTGATATTTTTAAAAAGGTTTTTAACCTTATGATTACACTTTCTTCCTCTTTTGTAACTCAAAATTTAATTTGTTTTTTTTATGTATTTATATATCCAAATCTTGAAATCAATTATATTATTTTAAAAATATTAAGTATATTAGGATGGCTTAATGTACTTAACACTCCTATTTGTTGTTGTTTGAACTTATATTTTGATTTTCTAGAACTTCTCCATATAAGACTGACAAGACCAGATGGTTCCAAGTATGAAGTTCTTTCTGAAGCCTCTTTGGAAGGAAGACTTCCTCCTTTATCTTGGCATCACCTTGCTATTTCGGTTCATGATTCTGTTCATGGTGGAAAAGTTATTATAGAGGTCAGTGTTTTATTATCTACACTATGTTGTGGAAAATTACTTTATTATCTATTGTTTATTAATTGCATAAATTTAATATGTTTTTTATTAGTGTGAATCTAGTGAATGAATTTATAAAGCATAAATAAATATAATAATAAAGACGGCAACACTGATTCAGACCAATGAGTAGATTGACCACGCTTGGCTTGGCTCTGTACGCTAGTAGCATCCATTGGAGTAACATCGAACCTCAACTGCTTTTTGTTTTCATTTTTCATGATCCCACAATACATTATTAAAATTATAATATAGTATAGTAAAAAATTTAAAGAATTTGTTCACCTTTATAGTTAGCTATATAATGCGAAAGATTATTGCTCAACTGAAATTCAAAATTTCAAGAATATTTTTTCACATTTTTTTCTTGAAAATGGCCAACTCAAATGAAATTTTAAAATTGTTAGTAGAGAATTATTGTAAAATTGTTAGTAGAGAATTATTGTTATTAAAAATAATTCTCTACTAACAATTTTAAAATTTCATTTGAGTTGGCCATTTTCAAGAAAAAAATGTGAAAAAATATTCTTGAAATTTTGAATTTCAGTTGAGCAATAATCTTTCGCATTATATAGCTAACTATAAAGGTGAACAAATTCTTTAAATTTTTTACTATACTATATTATAATTTTAATATCTTTTTAGTCTTTACAATGTTGGTTTTATTGTGCCATATAATTCATTTGTAAAGTTTAATTTGTACATTGTTTATTTAATCAATCGTATTTTGTCCTGAGTATGTGAAGAAAATAAAAATGAAATATTTTATTCCATTTATCTTTTAGTGAGTTGACACACTCTTATATTATGTTTATCAATCTCATAAGTTAAAAAAAAAGAAGGTTTATAATTCATGAACAAAAATTATTTTATTTTATGTTGCTTGTTACCTCACTAAATTTATTTTTGTTTTTTTAGGTTACCCTTATTATTGATGGATGGTGTGAAATACAAGTGCCACTTTCTTTTAAAGGATTACTTGTAAGAAAGTCAAGGCCTACATTAGTGGCTATCGGAGATACTAAACAGAAGGTTTGCCCTCAGCTTTGTAACAATATAATTAAATATAGATAACAAATTAAATTTTGACTAAAAATTCAAAATTATACATTTTAAAGATTTATCATAAAATTCCGAATAATTTATTTCTTAAAGATAATGAACAAATAACGAAAAAAAAAAAATGCATTTGTATATAAAACACAGTCCTTAAGTATTACCTTTACATTGTAATCTACCACTCTAAAACAAAATTCAATAGTTTAAAAAAATTACAAATAATTGACAATAAAATAGAACTTTTGAAATAAAAGAATTTTTTCTTTTTTTAGATTTCGTGCTCTTGGGACCTTGGTGGTCTCTTGATGTTTCGACGCCCCGTGTTAGAAAAGTCGAATGCTATTTGGCTGACTGCACTTGGTCCTAATATAAGCACAGTTACACAGGCAAGGGTCGGAAACTCAAAACCTTTGTGGCAAAAGGTATTTAGTCCTCGGACTCTTACAGCTGGATTGAAATGGGCTACGCTTTTAGATAACCAAACAATGATTAAGGATTTGCAGGTTTGTATTTATTTAATTTATAATTATTTTGGGGGAAGTGTGACTATTTTCCTCACCTGAAGGAGAAGGAAATCTTCAAAATGATGGCTTAATCTTGGAATTTGATGAAGAATTAATGAAGATATGACTTACCGACAAAAAAAATTACTAATAGGGCAAAGCAGACCCAAAGGCTTAATACCAATACCACCAAATCGATGTCCACATTTTTCCATCCACTGGACGCCGTTTAAACCCAACTCCCGCCAGATCAGCCTTAATACAATCTTCCAACCTTCGCTTTGGTCTCTCCCTCGTACGCTTGCCATTCAACATAGCGCATATTAACGTTTTAGGAATGGCAAAAAAAAAATTTACAACTTTTTTAAGAATAGTAAAAAACACCTTTTGATAAATAATATAAACTCTTCCTCTTTCAATCATAAATACCTCAAGTTGATTAATAAATCAAGACATTTATCCCATGGCAGTACTACAATTAACGTGAGTTTTCCTTTGCCTTGCATTATCTTGAAAATGGTACATTTTTGGGCTTGAAAATGCAGGATCAAGTAGTCTGCATCAAAATCTTCAAGTCCCAATTTGTCCTGTATCGATCCACTGACCAACCACCGTTCCAGTATTGAAGCCTAGCGAAATGTTTGTATCGACTCTATTTATTTTAGAAAGAAAAACAAAAGGGGAGAGTACAATTTTCACACACTCCGTGAAATTCTGAATCCAACGGTACCCCCTCATTCATGGCATTTGAGCATGACAGGAGCTTATATTTGGTACAAAACCGATTTCGAGCCTTACTGTAATAATATATGTGGGGATTTATTATATACAGAATAGAAGACTGTGGTAATATTTATCAAGGTGAATATGGTTAGCTGGTGATAGTCAAAATTAAAATACAAAAGCAAATTTTATAATACTTTTTGGTATAATTTTGACTACCATCATCTTATAATTTAGTTAATTGTGGTTCCCTTTTCTGGTTATTATATGTTTTATTTAGTAATCAGGATAAAACTAAAAGTAATATACATATATTTTTTATTTATATTTTATAAAATTAGATTAATTGATAATTTTGAATTCATATTATGTTATATAATTAAATGTCTTCATCAAATACTTTAAAACTAAACAATAACTGATGATTTATTATCAAAATAGAATGATATAATTATAGTTAATTTGTTTGTATTCCACATAATTTATATTTATTTTTCTTTTAGGATGTAATGCTGGTTAGCTATTGCCCCATGTTTCCGGAATCAATAAATGTATATCCGCTTGCATCAGCAACTTTAGGTATCAACAAATTTTGTATTAAAATAAAATCAAATATTTTGTTTGTTAATTTCTTTTACTAATTGGGCTATGTTCAAATTATATGATAAATATAAATAGTTCTTTAATAATTCTCTAACATTCAGTTATATTTATGAGTTATAGTATTTACAACCTGATTAATATTTTGTTTGTTACGGATGACAGTAGTTGAGCCCTTAAAATGAATGCAATTAGACTCATCAGTAATATACAATTTATTTCATGTTATAGGTATTGGGGCTGGCTTCCGAGTAATGACGGTAGAACAAAGAAGCAGTCAGTTGGTACCAATGTCAGTTGGTATAGTTGCTTTCTGTAAGGCAGCTTCCACGAAGTATTGTTCGGTACCAATGGCCGTTGACTGTCTAGGTGGCCCAGCTGTGTTTTTATTTCTTTTTGCTAGGGTAAGTTTATTTATTAATACACTTTTGTATAATTTTTATTTTCACTTATTTTTTCATAAAATATATAGGTAGTGTATGGAAGTAAAAAATTTAAAATCTGAATTTTCAGTAGAAATACACATTTTAAAGTTTCCTGAGTTCAAAATAGCTAAATCTTGCAAAATCGTCTATGTTTATGTTTGTGAACAGCCTAATTTGAAAAGTTGTATGAAACTGAAATTATTTATTTAAATTAGGTATATATCTTACATTGTATATAAACTTTTTTGATAAAACTGACTTACCAGATATTTCTATAAAAAATAGGTTTAACGATTTTGATAAAACTTGTTGTATCATTGTCAAATTTAATGGTCTTTAAAATCAGTTAGTTCTTTTCTTCATAAAAATATTCCAATAGGTCTTAAATACTGAATTTTCTAAATGTTTTCCTCTTTGGTATAGTTTGGTTTATTTGAAATAATTGAAGTAGTTGTATAGAAACTATCATTTAGTCATTGTATAAAAAGATTCTAACATTTTTTTTTTTTTATTTCTCTCTTTGATGCTCCTTCTGTACACAATTATCGTAAGCTTGTGAATTTTTCTCGTCTTGCATCCAGTATAAACAAGATTCATCAAACTTATATCTTTACTCTCGTAGGCATTTTTATTTATATTCTCTTCAATTTGTTTTGTCTTTCTTTTATTTTTTTATTTTAATATTAATCAATCATTATCCTGTATTTTTTTATACTATATTTTTATTTCTTATTACAGTAGTATTTCTAATCGTTTATTTATTTATTTTTTATTGCTCTATTAATTAATTTATTATGTAAATATTGTATAACTATATCATGTTTTAATATATTATTATTGTAAATCATCTACCAATAATATATTGTATATAATTTCTGTCTGACAAATTTCAATGCCGTAAAATGTGTTGCTTTTTTTTCATATTTGAAATTTGTATTATAAATTTAATAAAGAATTAATAATATTTGTAGTAAAACATTTCTACTTTTATATTGTTGAATAGAAAATAAATGTTTCCATGGAATCTTTATGGAATTTCCTTAAAAACTAAAGTAAAACCTTAGGTATACGAATCAAGGGATTTATTTTTCTATACTAGATTGTCTCATCTTCTCTTAATTTTAAAATATTGAATTGTATTAAATTTATTTATTTTTTTTCAACTTGTTGACTTCTTTTAGGTAGTTGAGATTGGTGGAACAGAAATTGAACAAGCACACGCTTTAGAGCTGTATTTAAGGTTGATACAACAAGATCCAAACTTAAAAATGCAATCAGAAGGATTTAACCCTCTTGTTTCAGCTGTTCTCGAATCTCCGTTGGCCTCAACAGGTGGATTAATGCTTAAGGTACTAATCAATTAAATTATTTCATATTTTTTTGTATATATAATTTAATATTTAACTTTTAACGTTCAACTATTACAATTCCAAATCTTAATTTTTAGTACTAGATTTTATTTATTTGATTCTATAAATTTAGTTTATCATTTTGTCCAATCATTATTAAAGAATAATGATTTTAATGTCTGGAGAGATTTTCGTAAATCAAATAATAGTTTTTATTTAGTTAATGGATCATCTTAATTTCAGTAATATTAAGTTAAAATGCGCGCCTTTCTGCTACGCACATAAAAGTTTTGTGTGAACACTTACAATATTTACAAAAATATTATTAGCACAAGCTTTGGTCATTGCATACAAGTTGGTTGGTAAATAAATAGTCGTTTCGATATTTGATCTTTATCTGATGAAAAAATTATTCAAGGAGATAGTCAGGAGTCGATCTGTAGAGAATAACATCAAACAAAGTCCGATTAATTGTTCAATGCCTCAGTAAACTATTTTCACATATAAATTAACCTTTTATTTATTATAGTTAAGAGTTTTAGGCCAAAACTAATTTTGATTATTGATGAAAATATCTCTAGTAACATCACATGATAGTTTGAAAAATATAAGTTTAATTGCTCACAAAAGTTAGGAAATAATAATATACTTGAATGATAATTAAACTATGTCACAATAACAGGATATTAAAAAGATATCTTATTGAGAATATTTTATTCTTGTAGATACTGGTTTTAGTTAGACCATTTTTAGAACATTAAGCTGACTCATAAAATATTCTCACAGAAAGACATTTCTGTTCTACTCCAAGTTCCTGTTACTTCAAAGCTTCTATTTAAGAATATTAATAATTATTGTATAATTTTTGATTATTGATGATTTTTATTATTATTTATATTGTTACAGGCCATTCTAGATACTTGCTGTGATAAGCCAGGCATTATTGTTACTTGGGGCGATGAACTTAGTGTCAGCAACGAAGGTGACTTCGTTTTGACTGATCCAGAAACCTTAGTTTCTTTAATTCTTTCATCGTCAACTTCTTGGTCGACGAATACTCTCCAGCTCTTTCTGAAATCACTTCTTTCTTTACTAAGAGATGATCATCCCCACAGAGAATTCAATTCTGCTCAGCTAAATCGTGCTTATGCCTTAGAAGCCATATTGTATTTCTGCAAAGTATGTAGTGATTAATATTGTATATTTTTTATTTTAATTTGATTTTTCTTATTTTATCCTGTGAAGTTTTTATTTTAATTTGATTTTTCTTATTTTATCCTGTGAAGAAAAATATATTGTTTGTTAATTCAATTTACAGGACAAAAAATGTTTTCTAACCATTAATTTTTCTGCTAATAAAGAAGTTAAATGTGAATGATCAGATATATATTATAATAGACATAGTTAAGAGCTTTTATAATGTAATGATTTAATTATAATTATAGCTGAGAATATATATTTTTTATTATATCTATGTTTTAATGAAAGAGCAATTTATGCCTATGTGCAAGATGAATTTAAGTCAAGTAATAGAATCAACCGATTGTTGTATTTACATAACTGCATTGTTCTTGCATTAGATCTCATACAAATATATATGTCTTTTAACCATGTTAGTCTTTGTATTATTGTTATTTAATTTTATTTTTTTAATTTGTCAAGGAAAGGTTAGTTGAAGAAAGAAGTGCTCTTGATGATGAGCTTTGTAACGCCCTGGTGGATGTTACCCGTGGATTGATGACTGCTCCTCCGCAGCTATCGCACGTTACCGCTATTGCTGATTATTTGTTGTTGGCGCATCCTGCCCATGCAACATACATTTCTCATGCTCGTTCTAGTTTATACTTTGTACTTCCACATCGCCCTCCACCCAAAAATAAAAGGCGAAGTAAGTCATTTAAAAGTATATTTATCATGATTTTATCAACAAAAAAAAACTATGTCCTATCTTTAATAAACTAAAAATTAATTTTATGTTTGGTGGATTAGTTTAACCTTTATTATATGTCCTACGGTTTTAATTATGTAGTTAATGTTGTATAGGGCGTTCTATGTTGCTAGGAAACAGGAATCTTAGTTTGTTTGGTGCTGTTGTCGATGTAAAAGAATATCGAGGGTTTTTTACTCAACCTGTAGATGCTGGAAAATTAAATATAGCACTTAATAATCTTCAGGTAACTTATTGAGTTTATCAGTTTAATATTTTATGTTATATATACTTAGTTGGTTAGTTTTTTATATACATTCTTAATCACTATGATATTGTCGATCTATTGAAAAAAATTCACTATGTACATTTTTTATGTATATAAACTAATGGATATAAACAAACTCTGTTATGTATTCAAAACTAAGAACATAATGCTTTGATTTCACAGAGAGAAACTTAATCGTAGAGCTTAGTGATTTAATTTGATGAAATGTTACTTAGTGACTTTTTCTAATAAGCCAACGATACATTTTTCTAATTATAAATATATATATTATTTTATATCAGTCACAAAATAATGTTATGTATCTTTTAAATTTCACATTACCAATCTATTTTGTCAAAAATTTCAGGTTAGAAAGAAAATAGAAAGCATTGGTAAAGAGTCGTTTGATAGTACAGGTAGTAAGACAGACGATTCTGGTATTAATGAATCCTGCAAGGGTTATACTGAAGGATCTTTAGTTACTCAAGTGAGTTTATCTTTCATTTTTAGTTTGTTATTTTATATAAATTAATTTTATTGTGCTTAAGAATTAATAAAAAGTGAAGAGGGTTATGGTTACGTATTAATTGAATATTTATCTAGGATTGTGATGAATTGAGTAATACATCAGCAAACACCTATTTCCAACAGAAGGGGACTGAAATGGATGTTGTCTCTGATAATTCTTCGAATGCGACTGATGATGATGATAAGTACATCAATGACAATGTTAGTTCAATTTTTATTTTATTTTTTTTGCCTGTTAATTTTTTTTTACTAACCTTTTCTTACAAATGTGTTTTCAACTTAGCAACAAGGTCTACAAGTTGAAATATAAATGATTAATGTTGTTTAGATAATATTAATTGTTTCCACTGTTAAGAAGATTATTTAATGCATTTGTTCAATATTTATTTGTGTCACGTGCTTTAAAATGAAATTTGAATTTGTTGTAATAACATTGATAGAACCATGTGATTTAGTTAAATCAATTTTATCAAACAGAATCTGCTTGGAAATAGAAACAGATTGTGGTCTTTAAAAATTAATATGATTGAAATAAAGACAGTAAAAGAGGAAAAGTGCACTTTAATTTAAGTTACTTTTTCTAAAACCAAAGTATAATTGTCAATTTTAATGATTATTAAAATCATATTAATTTAACCATTTATTAATCATAGACTTATTAATTTTAATGATGTTTAACTTGAACCATGCCTTCTTTCCTAGATGACTGAAGACAGTCACGAAAGCGAAGATGCTATTCGTATTGGTCTCCTAGAACTACTCAGGGATCAGATATTGGTCACTCCAGATAGTATAGCTCATACTGCTCTCCCTAATGTTCTTAGTCCAGAAGCATTTATCGTCATGGCAAATCATTCCAATATATCTGTTATTACTGCTGTTGTTCAAGTTCGTATATATATATTAAATATTTCAATATAATTTTCTAGTGCCTCCTAGATTATAATAGCTAAATGTTTTCTAATATAGGTCTTGGGAGCATATTTAGATCGAGCCAACAATGAAGAGAGAGCTCGTTTCATAAAAGATCGAGGTTTTTATCTTCTCGCAATGCAGCTTAGTCATGTGATACCAACAATAGAACTTGCTGAAGCTCTTGCTAGTGAGTATTTTTTCTAATAATAAATTACTAAGACAGTGTCTCTATTACACAATAAAATAATTTTTGTCCGGTTGGTTTAGTAAAGTCAGTCATTTTGTAAATAAGCTGTAAATTCAGAATTATGGTTGTATTATTGCTTTTGTAGGCTACTAATTCCATGTTTATCTATCTATCTATCTATCTATCTATATATATATATATATAATATATATATATATAATTGTATAAATACTTCTTATTTCATTTAATTAGAAATGTATTATTTTATCACTATATTTTTGAATTTAATTATGTTGTATGTTCTGAATGATAATTATATTTGAAAAGTCATATAAAACTTTTAAAGTATATAAAATTTATTATTTTTATTTTGAAATAATTACCTCAGTATAGTTCTTATTTTAGTTTAATTATATTTTGGGGTATTTAATTATACTTGCTTTTATTTCAGGTATTGTTACAATGAGTCGTTGCTTACCATTGAGTCTTCAATTGGATGGCGATGTTTTAGAGACTACGTTACCCGGAATAGTACCACTTCTTAGTTTGATCCCAAGATCTGTATCTGATATTCCTCTTGCCCATAATATAATTGTATTTGCACACAATGTTTTTTTAAAGGTGATTTTCATAATAAAACATAATTTACTTCTAAATTTGTAATTTGTCTTGTATATTAACTGAGTTTTATGGTTTATTGATCATATACAGTCGACTCAATAATTTGATGGTGAAGGGATTACAAGAAAAATTTGAATTATTGAGACTTCAAATTATCAAAAAGTTTGAATAATCAAGAGGAAAGAAAACAATCTGGTGTGACCACTCACACGACTTTCCTACCGATTTCAGAAAAGTTTTTATATCTTTAAATTTGTCCTTTAAAAAAATTGAATCAATTTATTTTTCTGAAAAATGATAAAAGAAAAAATTTGACTAGGATTTCTTTGAAAACTAAAGCAATGTAAACTGGCTTATGGAAGATCAGCTTAAAAAATTCAATACATCCTAAAATTTCTAATTAGAAAATCTTTTCAGACAATAATTTCTGTTAAAAGTAAGTGATACTTATGTTATGCAGGCACCAAATTTTTTTACTTTTCTTTTTTCTTATTCTTTCAACCCTTTCTGCCACCAGGATTTGAACTCATAATTTTACATAAGATATTTAATAGGTGTAACTTCATTAATAGTTGACCAAATCCTTTTTATATAGTTACTGAAAGGTATAGACCCGTTGAAAACCTCAAATCAAAAATTTGACCCGATTGCAATACTTATTCCGTATCTAGTATAGGTAGGAAAGTAATTATTAAGAGTTTTTATTATATTTTTAAAATATGTATGAGCTTACATAAATTTTATATTCATGTACCATCAAATATAAAACTAAAAATAATGAAAGCTAACATACCTAATATAAAAACAAGAATAGTTTTTTTTTTTTTAATGTCTCTGGTCCAAAGCATTCGGACACAGTAAGGAAGACTTACTTCTGCCTTGCACTCGTGACAAATTAAAGAGAATTGGGTAGTGAAACTGAGCTGAAAGGAGGTAAACATTACGTAGAAAATAAGGAGTAAACAAGGTTAAGAAAATTTCAAATTATGAAGAGGGGAACTGGCCTAGTACGAATCATAGAATGTTCTCTTCTCTTGTTATGAAAAGGAGTTCGAGTTATTGAGCTACCAAAATAAGTTTTTTTTTTCAATTTTATGAATTTAACAGATGAAGAGTTGGAATTATTGAGGTTCGAATAATTGAGAGTCAACTGTATTCTCAACATTTTGGGGCCAGCGTCCACTTGTGATAAATATATACTATACTACTAATTAAAAATAATTAAAAAATAATGAATTACTTATTATACTACTATCTTTTTGGTCAAATCATTATAAATGTACAATTCATATTTCTTTAATCGTACTTTAAACTTTTAAAATATCCTCTAATTTTCTGTCTTACTGAATATTGTTTTTGTTTTTTTTGTTTTTTTTAGGTTAATGATTGGAAGGGCCTACTTGAATTTGGGCTTGTTGAAGCCTTACTCAAATCTTTAGTTTCACTTATGCACCAGAAAAGTGATGTTTTGAATGATGTTTGTGTACCTGAGCAAAATATTTTAGTTTCAGATATTAACTCATTTTTATCAACAATTGTTATACATTCTCTTCAGGTCTCTGGAAATAATATACAGGTAAACAATTAAAATTGTATTCTTATATCACACTATGTTATCAATTTTGGGTAATTTATATTGAGTTTGGTCTTATTAAGTGCTCCGATTATTATTATCTATTTTGGGAATTATATTTTTTTGTGTTTAGTAATAACCTTTTCTTGAAAAATTGCATATAAAATTCTTTAATTTTATTATCTATGAAATATTTGGCAATAGTTGCAATCCTAGAGATAATGGTTTGACAGACATTCAAAATAAAACTTGCAATAGTAGTGTACTATTTATTGTATGTTGTGTTTCAGCTGTCTGCTTGTATTTATATTAATAATTATAATAAGGCTTAGCGAACCCGAAGGTTCGATGCCAATACCACCAATCGATATCCACATTCTTCCATCCATCGGGCTCCGTCTAAACACAATCCCGCCAAATCAGCCTTAATGCAATCTACCCATCTTTGCTTTGGTCTACCTCTCGGATGCTTGCCAGTCGGTATAGCGCTTATTAATGTTTTAGGAATTTTTTCGTGACTAAGCCCAGCGATTTTACATGCCCACTTTATTCACCTCAATTATATTAACCGGATACAGTTGATGCAATTCAGCGTTGTGTAACCGCCTAAATTCTCCAGTTGATTAGTCCTTTTTCGGTTCGAATATTCTGCGCAATACTTTATTTTCAAAAACTTTAAGACGTTGCTCATCCCTTAATGTAAGCGACCACGTTTCACATCCATAAAGAACTGTAGGTAGGATAATGGTTTTGTAAATTCTAATTTTTAAGGTTCCGGACAGGAGGCGAGAACTAAGTAATTTTGACAAAGAAAATAACTAGTATTTCCGCCCTTCAGCCTAACCTTAATATCCTCTTCAATTTTGTTTTTTCTAGTTATCGTAGACCCTAGATACCTAAAATTCTGTACATGTTCAAACACATTCCCTTCTATATCGATATCATCAAAATTATTGCTGTTTTTTTTTTTTTATATTTATATTATTTTTGTTTATATATAATTTTTTTCATGATTTGTATCTTATTTGTAATTCTTTAGAAGATCTGCAAAACGGACAAAAATGTCTTCATATAACTAATATTATACTATTACTACCAAAAATTATTCTTAGTTTGTTCGAGAATTACCAATATTTATCTTTTATTTTGTTTTTAGACTTTAAATGATATTATATATCAAATGGAATATGTGCACAAAGTGGAAGTTAATAATTGTGGTTCTAATTCTGCTTGTTCTGAAGCTATAAAATCAGCTCATTGCTTTCTGTTGAAGTCAGCTATGAAATCCATCACCGAAATAATTAATTCCCACACAGTTAAACCATCATTTTTTTCCTCAGGTAAGAAAGTCAATATGTTTCAATTATTAAAGTTTTCTCACTTATTATCATACATATGATAGTATGTCATAGAATGATTGTATGTTAGTCAGTATCAATCTTTACTTTGGTTTTATTCCCAATTTTTTATATGTTTATCTCTTATATACTCTATATTTTGATATTTATTGTGATATTTATATATATGTTTACTTGATTTTTTCAGTAATTTCATTGAGCAGCGATGATTATGAATCTCAAAAAACTTCAAGTTCAACCAGTATTAATACCATAGCGAAATTGTCAAAATCCGATTTAGCCGACAGATTTAAAATTGTAGTCACCAAAGCAACTGAATTTGTAGTATACGCAGGTAGTTATGATTTATTAATATTATTGCTTTAGGCATTTTTTTTTATCAAATTTAATAATATACAAGAAACTGTTAAAACGATTCGTTTCTAGAGCCTGTGAATGAAGATAATTTAAACTTGAGCCCTGAAATGCAGAAGGTTGGTGACTTTGTAAAGGAAGTTTGGAGCTACCTTCTTCAGGCCATCGTTACGGTTATTGAAAGAAAAAGTGTGGCCTCACGTAGTTCTTGGTCGAATGCCGTTTGGGCGAACAAAGATACATTACGGTAAGATATTAATAAATTCAATTAACATTGGAAACATTAATTGATTTTTACTTCTTTGAATATCTAAAGTAGAAGAGGTATGTTAATTTGTTGAGGAAATACATTTTGAAAGACTTAATTCAACTTAAAAAAAAAAAAATTATACAAATGTTGTAATCTTCAGTTTCTCTTATTTCATTCATTCTGCTTCACAAAAGTTTCAAAAAAATAAAATGTTTATAATTGTAGAGATAACGTTGACCATAGGTGTAATCTAGAAGATGTCCGTTCTGCAGAGAATGCAGACATGAGATACATCATATTATTATATTAAATGTATTATTTCTTTTAATGTTTGTCAAAATTTAACATGAGTAATAGGACTTCATCAGAGTAACAATTCCAAAAGATTTGGAACAATATTGACTTACGACTTATTCAGAAATATTGGCTCACATTAAAAGAATTATGACACATACTCAATGTTTTCTTTACTGACCGCATCCCAACCAAGTTCTCATTGGAAATGTTTATAAGCAATTTATAGCAGAATTTTTTTTAAAATAAAAACAACGTCACTGAAAATTTTACTGTAATAAACTCTTTTATTTTTCATTTTTACAGAGCTCTTGCTTCACAGATGTTTCTTTGGCTTTTATCTCCTACTCACAGCGACAAATTAAAAATGTTTGCTATATCATCAATACTAAATGAGCCCAGGTCGAAAGATATATTGATATTCATCTTGAGTACTTCTCAGGTATGAACCCTTATCTTTATTAATCAGTTAATAATAGTAAATCATCTTATAAATTCTAACATCGCATAACTCAATACTTTTATCTGTTTTAGTTAGAAAAATCTCTTGCATATTTCCTGTGGGATTTAAAATATGGGGGTGGTTTGACCAATTCCCAAGATCAAAGGGTCTTAGACGAGTTTGGTAGTAAGCTTGAGGAATGGTGTACATCTTACGTCCTTGGTATTGTTACTGGGGAGGTGGAGGCTGGTGAATACGCTAGGGAAGCAGTCGCTGAAGCTGTAGCTTCGAGAGGGGCATGGAGGCTTCAACGACAATCACAAATTCAAAAGTAAAATATAGTTTTTAATTTATATTAATGTTTAAACTTGTACTTTTAAGTCTACAAATATGAAATTTTATAGTTGATAAGTATTTGCTAATACTATTTTTTCCCTTTATTTATGCAAGGTTTGTTTGGAAAGTTATAACAAAAAAATATATATATTTTTTACATTTAATCAGGTAATTATCTGCTATCATAGATGGAAGTTCTCTATTTTAGGTTCTTTAACTGCGTTCGTCATTTCTGTTTTGATGGCCCCACCAAATGGAAACCCTGTTTCACCATATTGTTTTTAGGAAACAAAAAAAAAAGTCGCAAGGTGTCAAATTGGGTGAATGAGGGAATTTTACGACTAGTGATAGTCAGATTTGAAGGCAATAGTCGTTACCAAACTAGCAAAGTGTGTGCAAGGGCATTGTTGTGATGGAGGATACAGCCCTCTCTTTTCAACTAAATTCTGTTGGACTAAGTCAACCGTTTCTAAGAACCTTAAAATTGAATTTTCTATTAAGACAGCCCTGAAAGGACAAAGTCTTGACGGACAACGCCTGAGAATCGTAAAAACTAATTTGTATTGTCTTGATATTCAGCTTTGATTTCCTTGACCTTTTTGTCCATGGTTCCTCAGCTTGTTTCTATTTCCTGCTTTGGGAGCTTCCTTCAGCCAGAATTATTTCCTGTAACTGAACAATATCTTATCAAAAAAGTCCAACACTCTCTTCAGTGCTTGTCACTGCCAGTTCTCACCTAATGCCACTCTTCATGCCTTTTGTTGTGGAGAAAAAATCTTTAGAATGATTTTGAACTCTAATTGAATGTTGTGAGGATGCCCTGAAATACCTGGTGAGGTGTAGAAAGACCATTACATCTCCCTGAAAGGTGTTAGTAGAAATTACCTATATTAACTTTCTGAACAAAGTTTTTATTTCTAATATGATTTTTTCGTTTGTTTAATCAAATAAATATCTAATTATATTTTTCCCCATGCAAAATAGATCATTTTTTTAACATTATAAATTTGTGTTTCATTTTAGGGCAGTATATCACCATGAATCTCTTGCAAAAGAGGTATCAGAACGTGCTATGGGTGTTACCAAAGAAGTTGAATCAAGTCAAAGTCACCAACGAAAGTTATTGATGGAAAGCATTAAAAATGGCTTTGGATCAAAAGTTCAAGCAGTATTCAAGTGGCGTGAAGTAATTAATATGCTTACACATCAAGAGGCTGTGTGGCATTTTCCAGATTCTTATCCACAGTAATTATTTTAACTGATAATTTTATACTTATTAATACAATACTTCATTGTTGTACATATTTAAATTTGATCAAAAATACAATTTTCGATTCTTTCTTGAAATTTGTTGAGTAGAACTCCTGCATTCCATTGTTTACTTTACAGAACAATTTTTCTGAACCATCTATGCAAGTTCAAAATTTAACAAAATTAGCAGTATAACATTTTGATTTTGAACCAAGTATAACTCTGGGATGCTGTATTTACTTAGCAATTCATTTTGTCAAAGATCGTTTACTGATTTCTAAAAACATTAAAAGATTAAGTTTGGTTAGGGACGGAAAATTGAATATAATGAGGAGTTTTATTGATTATTTTACTAATAGGAAGAATTAAGTATTTAACCTACTGATCATTATAATTGTTATTGTCATAACTTTTTTAAAAATTATTACTGTGTTTTTTTTACCATTTATTCTTATATTGTTTCATTGTGATAAATATTTTATGAAGATTTTTTTGGTAAAAAAACATTTTTGTTTTCTAGATCTTGGGAACTGGATCCTACTGAAGGTCCAGCAAGGATCAGGAACAGATTAAAAAGATGCCATTTAGAAATTGAAGATAGATACTTTAGACCGGATATAATTTTAGCAATGGGTAATGATTTTATACGATAATAGTGTTTTTAATCTTAATAAGTTTTTATTATAGTGGTTATTATGTGTGATATTTATTATATTGTGTTAATTATGTGAAGCCAGATTACTATGTTGTCTTTTTTCCCTGTAATCTAATCCAACAACATTTAGTATAATTATAACTAAGAATAATTTAAGTACAAGCTGGGGAGAAATTTATGTAAAGTAATGATGATTTTAGTGAGTTATATATATCTTAAAAATTCTTCTTTATATCTTGTTAACGAAGAGCATTATTTTATTATTATTATTATTTTTTTTTCCTAATGGGCTGTTAGTTATTTTTATAGTTATAAAAGCAACCTAAAAGGCTGATGATCCTTAGGATGATTATGGTTCTAATTCTTAATTCAGGAACTAAGATTCAAATGATGCAAACTATTTTTTATTTAGTATGGTAAAAAGTAACTATTGCGATGTTTTATTTCACTCATAACTGAATAATTATTGCTTGACAATCATTCAGCAGTTGATCCCAAGTCCATGGCCATTTTATTTTTTAAAACATCAAACTTGAAACATTAGCTGTATTAGAAATTGAGTGTATAGAAGAAAATTCACAGACATATTAATAATTTTTTTTTTTTAATAGGAAAAAGTAGAAATACACCTCTAAATTACATCTTTGAAGCAAACGTTTCTACTAGTGCTGTCTTGATTGACAGACTACATTCGAACAATAAGATCAGACATATGTGTAAAGCAAGCGTTATAACTCCTGATAAGGCCACCCCAGGTGAACTTCTCATCGGCCATTGCTCTTTGTATTTTGTTCCGAGTTCAGATGATAATACTAAGGTAAGAAAATTTATTTTTAATGTATTACATTTTTTTATTTATTTTCTTTAATTTTCCATGATTGTTTTTCAAATGATTATTTTCAGGAATGGGCTTTTGAACAAATAAAGGAATTACATCGCAGGAGATTTGAGCTTCAAGAAAGAGCATTAGAGATATTTCTTTTGAATGGAAAAACATTTTTCATGGCCTTCGAATCAACCAAGGTAATTTTGGAATATCAGAGGAAGTAAAGAAATAAAGCTGTTATATTAGATTAAATGATGAAGGATTTCAATCTAATTAGATCGGTTTTAATATTTCTTATCAATTTATAAAATATATAGTTAGAGGAAGTATTGATATCATTAAAAATATTAAATCCGACTTTTCAACAAAAAATGTTTTACAACATTTGGGGTTTACTGAGTCAAAATAACCAAATTTTGCAGTATAATCTGTGAGTGTTTGTGAACAGCCTAACTCAAAAACAGAAGGTTCAAAAAAATTATAACTATGTATTTAAGATAGGTATTTGCCTGGGATGTTACAGCAACGTTTCCCCCAAAATCAACTTATCGGAAAAGGCCCTTTATGTCATCGAACATATACGTTTTTACCATTTTCTCAAAAATAGCTCTAACAATTATCTTGATCTTTTAGTGATTTGAAGATCAGGCAAATATTATCCTCAATAAAAATTTTTGTACAGAAATCAAATACCTAAATTTTCAAAATTTCTTCCTCTAGAATATTTTTAAATTTTGTTTATTTGAAATAAATAATCATTTCACATTGTAACAAATAAAAATTGGTTAAATATAAAGTATAAAAGAATTTGATAATTAATTAAAGGAAAAATAAGGATTAGTTAGTTTATTTTCTTATTTAGTGATCTAATTCTACCTTTATTGTTTTGTTTATATTTATTTTGAAGGAAAGAGATACATTCATGAGCGCCCTGTTGGACTGTGAGCTGTGCAACCGTGTCGCTAATGAGCCTCTCGGAGATGCTGTAGAATTGTGGCGAGAAGGACACCTCACCAATTGGCACTACCTAACCATTCTTAACACTCTCTCTGGAAGATCTTACAATGACCTAATGCAATATCCTGTGCTGCCGTTCGTTCTTGCGGATTACACAAGTGAAGTTCTGGACTTGGAAGACCCCAAATCTTACAGGTAATTTCCTGTTTGCAATATTCTTGCAGTTTTAACTCAATAGGTGCAATATTATATTTATTAAAATATATATTTTTTTGTTTTTTTTTAGTATTAATAAGTTCCATTGATTTGTGTAATTTGAATAAACTATTTAAAAAATCTCGGTTATTTTGACCTATGTGTGCGAATTATTTTCAAATTTTCATTGTTTTATTTGAGCCTTATTGCACTTTCAGGCTTGTTCTTGTAGGCGCATTTCAGATTCTCTTTTTGTAAAACAGTTCTCTGTTGTTTCCCATTTATGCGTTTAATTTGTAGTGAAAGCCTGAGCATGACCTAAAGGAGGGAGGGTAATTACTTGTTGGAAGGAATCTGTGTTAGTTTGCACTAAAAAGTTCTGAATTGGGATGAAGCCTAGCATAGGCTACAGAGTATAGCGTATGGAGCCATTGTTAAACCTCTGCGTTAACAATTAAAATAGGCCAAGTTTCTTACACATTTAACTTAAAAAATTGATTTAAAAGAAATAGGATTTTTTTGAGTTTAGTTTGACAATACTGAACTAAAATTCTTATCTTTTATTTTATTATTCTTTTTATATAATAATAATTTTTAAAAATGGTTTTTGATCAAACAATGGTAATCATCTTAAATAATTGATCCAATGGTCATCCTTTTGAATATCTATCTCTTTACTTCCATACTTCATTGAACATCTTGTAAGTGTATCAGAAAAAAATCCAGTGTATTCTATCTGAGCAGTGCCCTTTCTATGCAGTTGATTGAATCTCCTTGAATGTTGGTCAATTAACACCATTTTTGACGCATATATTTTCTTGTTCTCGTTATATTTTCTCTCCTTGTCAATAAATCCTCATTCAGTTATTATAGCATTATAGTAATACTCTGAAAATATCTACTCTATGATTTTTTTTTTTAATCTTTCTATTTGTCTTTAATTTTAAAATTATTTTTTCTTCTAGAAATCTCATTAAACCCATGGCCATCCAAGAACAGAAAAATGAACAGCATTATATCAATAATTATAATGTAAGTAACAAATAATTAGTCTCTCATAATGTTAAGGCAAAATATATTATCTTCCTCAATTAATTATATAAAGATATAATTATATTAATTGTTGCAGTATTTGAAAACTGACGCTTCTAACGAACTGTCCTATAACCAAGAGCCATACCATTATAGCTCTCATTATTCAAATTCAGGAATTGTTTTACATTTTCTTGTGAGGCTTCCACCTTTCACAAAAATGTTCCTCAGCTATCAGGTGCCTTTATCGTTTCTGTTATAAATAATTTTTTTTTTATTTGATTATATCAAATGAAAAATAATATTAATTTTTTTAATTTCAGGATAACAATTTTGATTGGCCAGATCGTACTTTTCATTCTCTTCATACAACTTGGAGGTTGACAAGTTCAGAATCGGCTACAGACGTTAAAGAATTGATACCTGAGTTTTTCTTTCTTCCAGAATTCCTTTGTAATCACGAGCATTTTGATTTTGGAATAAGACAGAGTGGTGAAAAGGTCGATAATGTTGTCTTGCCACCATGGGCTTCTAATCCTCGCCTTTTTATCTTGATACATAGGTAAAATAAATTATTTTAAAATTTGATTTACCATCTTTAATAACTTTGAATTATCAAATAATAATTTATCATAAGAGATAACGAAAAATAATTTTGTTGGCTCCTTCTGATATCGAATGAATTGTACCTCAGCCCAATGGTTTAGTTTAATACTAATAATACCATGATGAAGATGTAAAAGCATTCATGAAATGTTGTTAATAGATTGTGAATAACGTGTTACAATTTATTGGAAGTCTGATTCACTTCTTCTAAATCTTTTTTTTTTTTGTTATATGGCCAGTTATGTTTTTTGATCTATCAAATCTTACTCATTCAACATATTTCACATTTATTTCCAAAATTTCTTGTAAACAATTGACCAGTTAATTGAATGGTCATCAGGACAGAAAAATCAAGATCATATCTCAACTGAAGGCAGTACATAACTCAAAGTCAATTAAACTCATTCTCTCATTATTCAAGACTGTGTTTGTAATATTTTAATTATATCCTAACAATTATTTAATGTTTCTTTATAGTGCTTTTTTGTACAGATTAAAATTTTCCTTGTTTCCCTAGACACTTTCCATAGCCATCTGTGTATCAAATATTTAATATTCCCCTTTTGTATCGTATTTTTTTCAGACAGGCATTGGAATCAGAACATGTACACGAATTCCTCCCGCACTGGATTGATCTAGTTTTTGGATATAAGCAAGTTGGTAAAGCTGCTATAGATTCAATTAACGTCTTCCACCCTGCCACTTACTATGGCTTCGATCCTGAATCGATCGAAGACCCTTTGCTGAGAAAAGCTTGGCAAACAATGGTTAGGATGTATGGCCAGACTCCAAAACAACTGTTCCGTGCACCACATCCTTTGGTTGTCCAGTGTTTGGATCCAAAGAAAAATGTACCGCAAGTGATACCTAGTAAGTATTTTCATCTTTAATTATTTTATATAAATATATACATTATATGTTATTAAGAAAAGATATATTAATATTCATAAGTTATTAATGCTATCACAATAATATATTAAAAACTTATTCCATCAAATTTTCTCAATAATGGTTATGATCTTAGGTGTAAAAGGTCTAAGCTGGGGTCATTATGTTGGCTCGCCTGCTGAATCTCACCCTACAATTATTTGGCAAGGATCCCATCACACTTCCATATCAACCCTGATTGCACTTCTCTCGAATGATGTTTTCGGTCTTGCCACCAACACTGCTCTCCTTCTCTCTTATACGAAAGAATCTACGCTTAATCTTGTTGTGAATGGTGGAACATCAGTCCTAGGTAAGCTAAATGTATATTGGAAACCTGCATTGATATACAGAAAAAAAAAATATATGCTTAATATCAGGTATAAAAATGATACACTTAACAGATATGCTGAAATCTTATAAAATTATTTATGTGTTAAAAACAAAAAAAAAAGCTTTGACTACTTTTATACATTTATTTTACTGCTTTAACTTTATTAATGTATTTCTTAACACTTCTTTAATGATCTTTTCAATAATGTTTTCATCTAGAAACCTGTGGACTTTTGTTCCAGAATGGGGAAATTTATTTTTTAATTTCATTTCATTTCAGGTGCTGCTCTGATTTCATGGGGACACGGTGATGGAGTTGTGAGAGCAAAGTTAAGAAAAGAACAAATTCCCTTCCCTGCTGTATCCAATGTTCCTGGAGACACTATAGCTCTGTGTACTTCGGTACCTGATTCAAATCAGCTGTGGGTTGGCTACGCTTCAGGAAAAATTCATGTTTATATGTACGTATGATGTTTTAAATCTTTAGGTAACGTGGGTTGTAAATTAAACATTATGATTAAGTAATGTTATTATATTATGTCATTTTAGTTTACAAAAGATGATTTAAGTAATTTTTTTGTAGCCATAAGATTTATTTATGGCTTAACCATTTACTTATAATATAGGCATTTCTATATTGTCTTTAGTATATTTAAAAAATATTTCTCCTTCACTTTTTTATGATTTAATAGAAAAAAAATTATTTAATACACTATTGATTATGTAAATAATAAATCATAAATCACTTACACCAATAGGTATAAATTTGATGGAGGAGGAGGAAGTTTAGAAATAAACGATGAATGGACAACCCTCGCTGGTCATCGAGCAACCATTACAGGAATTGCTCTTTCGAGAGGTTTCTCTCTGTCCGTTTCAATTGCTGATGATGGATCTGGAATTTTGTGGGATATGAATACTCTATCGTATGTCAGATCTCTTCCTCGCCATCCCAATAAAGTAATTAATATTTTTAATATTAGCTTTTGCTAACGATGACGTAATTTTTTTTTTTACTTTGATATTGAATTTTTTTTCTTCAGATGAGTCTTGTATCCATCTCTGAGACGCTAGGTGATATTGCTGTTGTTTCCGATGAGGGAACTGTGTTGAGCTTGTATAGTGTAAATTGTGAATTGGTTGGCTCTGTAACTACCGAAGAAGAGATTACATCTATCACATTTTCATGTGCTCCTGAGGGGCGCTCTGTGAATGTTGTTGCTTGCGGAATGGCAGATGGATCAATTAGGTATTCTTTTTATAACTGTTCAATTACTCTTTATTATTTTAACATTTATAATTTTTATTATAGTGATCATTTTTTTATTTATATTTTTGTGATAGTAAATTTTATTATTGTATTACTTTTAATTTATCTTAGGGTTTGTTGTTTGTTCTCTTAATAAAAGAGGCAATTGAAAGCTAAAGAAAGGCTAGTGTTCATCTCTCCCAATATTATTGTGTCTATAAATTAAGAGACATAATGATCTGTTTGTTCAAGTATTATCTGTGCTTTACATTTACATATTATATTGTTTTACATATAAACGTAATTGTTTTAGGAGTGTTTTGTCTTAATCTTAAAATAATAAATTTGGCCGCTGATTAGAATAAATTGTTTATATTTAAATAACCTATTTATTACATTTGTTTTTCTTTTTTTTTATTACCAAAATATTTAATTTCAGGTTATGGAGTACTTGGGATATGACATTTGTCAAAACAATTACAACACCTGGCCTTCATCATTCCATCATATGGTAATAGTTTCTTCCTAATTAAAAAAAATATTGTGTTTTTAATTGGGGCATGGAATTTCAAAAGTGTCCAAATCCATTTAGAATTTAAATTTAATTAAAAACATAGATTTAAGATAATCTAGTACAGAAACTATTAAAATTGGAAAGTAGAGTTACATTATATTATTTTCATAATTGTGGGTTGATGGTTGATTGTAGTGAATAATGAAGAAAAGGATAGTTGGGGTGAAAATATTACATATGCGGTTTTCATAGATGCTATTATTAAATATTTAATTGTATAAATTACATCGATATAAATATTAAAATTTGTATACATAGGGGTACTTATAAAAATATAAATACCCAAAATGAATTGTAAATCAATATAGTGTATGTAATTTTTACTTTCACTTATCTTTTGTCTAAAAATATTTATTTCTGCTAAGAAGAGGGTGGTAAGTGAAAGTTGTGAGATGTGTACACCGCACCAGATATTTTTATGACGAGGCCAACTAGGAATTATGTGATTGTTTCAATTATATAATTTTACAGCTCGTTTTCCTAATCCTCTCTCCGATAATAGACTAGTATCAGTATATTTTTCTAAATACTTCTCATTCCTATGCACAAAAGGTATTTATGTACATAGGAATGGTAGGGTTATCAAAATCGTACGTCATAACTCATGTCTCATTGCCATAAGTAACTACTGGATCTTATAAAAGTTCTTTGAATCTTAACTCCTTTTGAAATCCAAAGTAGCAACAAATTCATACCGCTATCCTTGCTCTTTTACTTTGTAGACCATTTTTCTCAGTGTTAAATATTCGAAGATATTTTAAAGCCTCGCAAACTGAGAAACTATGACCACTGATATTATTAGAATGCGGCCCCTGGTGGAGGATTCTGAATGCTCCTTAAGCCCCATCATCTGATTCGATAGCAGTTGTAAAACTGTAACACACTCCGCTTAAATTTTTATCACTACAAATCGTTCGCAGTTTAAATTGTTATTGAATCATGAAATGTCTTCCTTAATACCCACAGCATTTATGAGTGAATTAATTGACTCAAAATACGTTTTTATTGGAAGAATTATACTTATATTATGGACATATTGTTATAAATTGACTAAATTAAATCCTTTTTATTCATTTCTCATTATTATTTCCTGATTAATATTAATCTGCCTATTAACTTTTTTCAGCTTGGCTTATTCCCATGATTCGCAGCATCTTTACGTATCGTCAAGCCAAGGGCAAGTTGTGATTTGGCAAGGTTCAAATAGTAAATCCTATTCCAAAATGCCGAGATTTCTCAATTTGACGTCTTTACTGTAACAAAATATTATCAATTTAAATCTGTACTATTTTAAGGATTGATTTAAGTGACATTTCACTACAACAGTATTTCAAAGTTATATTAGATTTGTATAATCATAAAATTATGGAGAAAAAAAGCAATTCAGAATAAGCCAAATCACTTTAACATTAAAACGAGCAGTTTTTAAATTAAGCGTATTTGTAATTTTTAATCATTATTAACTTATTCGTTACATTTTAAAATAATCATTATTGTTATGTAAAAATGTTTTATTCATTGTTATTAATGCAATTAAAGAAAACATTGTTTCTTCTATTATGTTCGTTTATATCAAATCAGATATTATTTATGTTATTATTATTATTGTCATATGTTTTACTCTATGAAAGGAGAAGATAAAGGTAAAGAAAAAGCCTATTAATAAGATATTTGTTGTTATTTGAATTTTTTTTTATATATCAATTAGTTTAAATTTATATTTCAATTAGGTTGTAAATAAGAACCAATTTTTATGTATATGTTGTTTGTATGCCTACTTTATTAATTTTAATGTCATAATATAAGTGTTTCAATCTTTATATATTATAAATAAATCGGATCATTTATAAATGCGATGAACTTGTGATACGCTGTACAGTTATTTGAAAAAAAAAAGTTCCTGATCTCAAATGTTAAGTACTTAATTATGTTTGTATATAATGGTGTTGAACTATCTTTATATTAAAACAGTTTTATCTATTCTTGTTATCGTTAGGAGAATATTAATATAGATGAATTATATACCTGTATATGAATAAGTTTCAATATTTTTATATATGTAAAGTAATTATATAACTTAATAATGTTCAAATGTAAATACTAGAAATGAGTGAATATACTTTTAATCAACGATATTATAATTAACTTTTATACATTTGTATAAATCATTAAGTGGTTTAATGAATAATTTTATATATAAATAATTATATTTAGCAAACATATTTTTTGTAACAAGGAATATTATAAATATATACAATATTTTTAATACACAAATGTGTTTCTATGCCTTACTTAAGTTATATCTTATTTTTATGATGCTTGTTAGGTGCTAATAATCTTTCATACAGAATTAGTTGAATTCCTTTTTAAAGAATAAATAAATAAAAATAATTAAATCGTTTTTATTTTAGAACAATTACTGTATATGAACTGATTTAATATCCTTTATTTAATCAAGAAAATTCAAATTTTCATTATTTCATTATCAGCTATAAGTTGTTATATATATGAAGAGAAGAATAGTTGGGGTGCTCAGTCAAAAAGGAAGGCAAAAAAATAAATTATAATATTTATTTTTTTTTTACTCATTAAGTGATTTAATGAATAATTTTATATATAAATAATTATATTTAGCAAACATATTTTTTGTAACAAGGAATATTATAAATATATACAATATTTTTAATACACAAATGTGTTTCTATGCCTTACTTAAGTTATATCTTATTTTTATGATGCTTGTTAGGTGCTAATAATCTTTCATACAGAATTAGTTGAATTCCTTTTAAAAAATAAAAAATAAATATTATAATTTATTTTTTTGCCTTCCTTTTTGACTGAGCACCCCAACTATTCTTCTCTTCATTATCCACGACAGTCAACCAATTACCAATTATGTTATATATATGGTTTATGATACTATTTCTTGTAGTTTAAGAAAACTTATTTCCTAACAGGAGATCAAGAAACAGAAGCAGTTATGAAGAGAAATATTATTAGAATTCTTTATTCACATAACCCTAGTTTGTATGAAACTGAAATTTTTATATCATAAACAAATATTTCCTAATAGGAGGATAGAAAACCATGATGGGATCTCTGAAGAATTGCAATATATTCATGTAACAATAATCCAGGAGGCATATCAACAATAGAAAAGCAACATAACATGTCTCATTTTTTAACAAAATAGAGATATGCATGTCAATGTATTCATAATTTCATTCTAAATCTATTAATAATATAAATATAAATTCATTAGTTTGGTTCTTTTTTATTTTTCTGGAGTAGATAAGGATGAAATGTACAATTTCCATTTTTTAGATATACTTTATGAAGAAATCAATTGCTTTAATAGCAATATTAAGCGAAAGTTTTATTGAAAATATTCATGGAAAAAGTTCCGATTATCAATTAAAAATAAAACTTCCAATCATGTTGGAACTGATAAAGAATAAAAGTTAACTATTGGCTTCAAGCTCTGCTTTGAGCTAAGGAAAGTTTTCACAAGATATTTTCTTTTCAAAGTTTGAGTTCTAAAAAACGCAATTTCATCTGTTTTTTTTTTTTTTTTTTTTGTTTTTTGTCTGTAACATGATTATCTCTTGAATGGAAGAACTGATTTTGTAATATTTTTAAAATGTTTTATAGGGTTTCGGTTCCAGACACCTGTGAACTAGATAGAGTCCCTGTGTGCAGCAGGCTAAAAACTTATTTTTGTAATAGTCTATAGTGCCAAAATAGCTGTAAAGTTTTTGATGAAGCTCACATAAAAAAATCTTCATATTATAGTACTTTATGTTTTATGTATGTAGTACATCACTGAGAAAAACAGTAACTGTGAATACAAAATTTGATTTGGGCATTGCTAAAAAAGTATACTTTTGAGTAAATTATATACCTAACCATTTGAAAGATCATAAAACTTAGCAATAAAATATTTTGGAAGAAGGGGGAGTTCATGGGCCATCCACCTTGGGGAGGGGGGAGGGATGGGCACCTCTGCAACAGATCTTTACATTTCAGAGTCCCCTGAGTCCAAAAATTTATTATGAAAAGAAAAATAACCTAGACCAGAATTAGCAAAGATACTGCGAATTAAACTTTGTGCCCTTGCTTCAATTTAATAAGTATTCGTTTTAGAAAGCTAAAAATCTGCAAAGGTGTACACACAAATCCATTATTTATTTTCTTTAATTTCACAAAAAACCGTAGTACCATATATCTTAAACACTGCTGATGGTTTTTTGAAAGAAGAATAAATTAAAAAAAAGTTAAAGTAAAAGGAAAGGAATAAAAATAATAATAACAATCAGACCAATATTACCAAAGATATGTGAAATAATTTTTGTATTAGAACCTTCACCCAAAGTTATAAAGAAATTCGTATGTGAGTGAATGCACCAGATATTTTATTATTAATTTCTGGATTTATTCAGATCAACTTGTTAGCAGTATTGGTTAGAAATAAATAAACAGCATTAGTAAATATTATATATTATATTTTATGTTTAAAAACATTTATATTATTAAAATATCAGGCATAATACTGGATATTTTAAACTAGAGATCATTTCTAATATTTTTTTTTTTAATCTACAATAACCTAGTCAGTATACAATTTCAAAAATTTGTAAAATATACAAAACTTTTGTTTATTTACATTTTATATTAATATATAATAAATATATTTATGTATATATAGATATGCATGTGTTCATAAATAATACATTCATATAGATATAATAAATTCCTTCATAATTTTAGGATAGATAATTATATATAAAATTTTAGGAACAAATTATTAAATTTTACCATAGATAATAATAAATACAAAATGACTCATGATTGTGAACAATAAAAAAAATAAATACTATTTATATGACTTTTTTAAGTTTGTTTTTTTCATCACTTCAGCCTTACCGCTTAGAATTCAAGCAAATTATACCAGTACATACACAATCATATCAACGACAAATCTTTTTTTAATTTAAAAATAAAAAAGAGCATACTTATCAGTTAAACATGAATGTTACATCTTATAAACGGATTAAAAAATCCACATAATCAAATTATTAACAGCAGGAAAAATAACATGGACTATGCGTATTATAAAATATATAAATATTTTTTCATCAAATGATTTTTTTTTTCTTACACTTCCTGAGTAAGAATATTAAAGGAATATTTTCATTTCATTTATAAAAAAATATTGATTTTTACTCACGGTTTCATCTCGTAGTAACTTCATTCTCATATTGGTAATATTAAACCTCTGGTAACCATTCGAATCGAACTCTTGACATAATGCAAAACTTTATAATGTGAAATAACACATAAAATTGATAATTTAGATAATAACTATATTATTATTACAAATTGATGCTATAAATGACGTTCGTCATTAACGACTTGAAGCAAAACCTTACATTAAAGCTTCCAAATTTTTAAATGTAAGTTTTTATGTTCTGCATGTAATTTTTATAAGTAATTTGATTGAGAGCAAAATATTAGTAACTGTATTGAAAACTTTTAATATTACTACTATTCAATAGACAATTTTTACAGCAGCCTATAAACATAAATATGAAAATAAACAGATTGTTATACTCAACTTTTTTAAGGATAAAAAAATTACAACTTGATTAAAAATTATTTTTTGTAAATTACATATTACATTTTGTATATGTAGTACATCCCTGAGAAAAATAGTGACGGTGAGGAAAGGAATAAAAATAATAATAATAACAACAATCAGACCAATATTACTGATGATATGTGAAATAAAATGTATTATGAATTCTAAGAGACTACAGTAATTATTACTTTTAGGTAATAATTACTGGTTAAGTGGTTACTAATGGATATTTATTACTCACATAGATAGTGAGTTTTATATACCTTCATGGAAACTGTTATGACCAGGAGTTAGCAGATTAATATCAACTTCTATCGAGTTTATTTTTATAATTACAAGCATCATTTTCATATGAAGTTGTAGTACAATCGATGTAGTTAACATTAATGTTGTAAGAGTAGCTTAAATCTTTAGTAGATATATTGCAGTAATAATCACTTCAAATATTTGTGTAATGAATTTCATACTTAATTTAATTTTAGTATAGTAAATATGATTTCCTATAATGTTAATAAAATATATTTTTAAAACGATACAGTTTATTTACAAAACTAAAGAATAAGAAAGTCTCATAATGCAGAGACTCGGGAATATTAGATTAAAGAGTATCAATACGAATCAATGGAAAAACTGAAAAAGAGTCAATCAGAATAATTACCAGATTTAAATATTAACCAATAAAACTCAAAATGAAAAAATAAGCAGAGTATTATCACAGATTAATATTATAGCTAAAATACAATGGACTAAGCTTATGATTAAAATTGATTAAATTTAACTTCAAACTATATTCTACAACAATATAATATAAATATTGTTACTACTTTTGATTATTTGGTTAAAAAAAGATTATAAAAATAGTATATATAATAATATTTTTTGCTTTTTCAAAACTAAAATCATATTGAAAGCCTTAGAAACTTGGAATAATGTATTAAAAATAATCAAAAAATATTAATATATTTTTAAAAAATTGCTGTCTTACCTAAAATAATAATACATGCAAATAGCTTTCAGTAAAATACTTAATAATTTTCATTTCTTTCTCCACAGTTGTAAAAATTTATGAATTGATAAAATATTAATAAAAAGATGTTTATACATTGGCAACGGGAAGGGTAGCCTGTGAGGCATTGACGGAACCAACGGCTGCGTCACCTTCTGCTTTAGTCTCCTCTTGCTCCCCTATGAGGGCTCTGTATTTTTTGGCAATGGCTTCCCAGTCCGCGACGTTTTCTAGTTTCGTGGCTGCATTGCTAAAGCTCAACTGTGATCCCAGAGGACTCAGATGTACAACACTCAATGCTACAGGCTCTAAAATAATAAATGTATAAATAGAAAAATGATATTTTACTAAAAGGAATTGCTTAGAGATGTATATCTTTGTTAACTGTTTTTTTCCCTTTTTTTTTTTAAATTGTGGTGATGATTAATAATCAGAATTTGTAGTCTAGACTTGTTTTATTCACTTTGCCGATATTTCAACCCAAGCATGTGAAGAAAATATTAAAATAAATGTTTATAAACTAAATATGAAAATAAAGTAATAAGTAAGATAAAAATCTATTGCTTTACTTTACATTTATAAAACTTTATTTTGATATTTTCTATTGAATGGCTGTTATGAGACAGTTGACACCATCCTTCATCTCCCCCATCGAAATCCATTTACTGTATCAATCACACAACTCGCTCAGTTCTTGATGCTAGATTAGACAGAAACCATTGGTCATTTTTAATCAACTATTTACAGTTGTTATTTTTATTTTTATACTTTTGATTCCATCAGTTTCTCTACATACTTATTCATATTCTGTTTAGTTATTAAATCTCACTGTATGACGTTTCTGTATTGTATTCCGATTAGTTTTTATAATTCAAAACAGAATCTCACTCATCATCCTAATCCTGTAGCACAGTCTCTATCTATCTCTAGTCATCCCTACAATCCTCCCCGGAGATTAAAACGGCATTGGCCCCGCGACCTTTTGTAAAAATGTATATATTGGAGTACTGGCACTGGTCAGATTCTTCACTCATGTCCTGAGCATCTGTTGCTCTAGTGCTCTCCATCAGTCTCCATTGGCTTACTATACCAGTGACGTGGCTGGGAGAGAAGCACTGGAATCTCCTGGAGTTCTGCTTTGGCTTCCACAATTAGGGGGCAAAGCTTGATTCGGGGTCCCCTGGGCCAATGTAAATATTGTACATACATGTGAATGTGTTTTATTTATTTTACTTATACTGTTATTTTACTTATCTTGCATATTACTTTATCTTTATATATATATATATATATATATATTTTTTTTTTTTTTTTTTTTCCTTTCTTTTATACATATTGTGTGAATGAATACTATAGCCCTAGTACCAATGCCCTTCAGTGTGGCAGACTGTATTAATACTCAATAAAAAAAAAAATTCAACTTATTCAGTCTTAGCTGTAGTTTTCATGTATATAATTCTTATTTAATTGATTTAGTTATTTGAACTATCAATTTAGTTACTTTATTTGTACTATTTATGTATTTATTTTTATTTTTTTCTAAGCACAGTATCATGTTTATATTACTGGTACCATATGTGTACTATTCATCTTGGCTTATTTTTGAACTTCTATCTATTTATCTTTATATATATATATATATATATATATATATATATATATATATATATATATATATATAATACTTCTGATATAATTTTTAGACCTAATGGTGACCCACATGCTTAGATCAAAATGTCAGCAAGTTGAATAAAACAATAAATCCTCATTATTCATCATTCTCATAAAAGGAATTTTACAAAAATAGGATAACTTAAAATTAAATTATAGCTTCCATATATAATGCAATAAGTATTTTCTTTTTTTTTTTCTTTTTTTTCTTTTTAATGTTAGCCAAAGAATTATTTTCACATTTAGTTCTATAATATTTCAAAATCATGGATGGCTAATTAGAAAAACAAAAGGAACGATTTTCTTTAGCAGAATGAGTCACACGAAAATTTAAAATATTGGTTTAGGCATTTCTTTATATCAGAAACAAATCAAAAAGAAGTTTAGAACATATATTGGGTATAGAGGATACGTTTTGGTATTTTCTAAAAAAAGGCATTATTCTGGAGATTTATATCCAGTGGATGAAGATACATTATGCTGTATTTACAGGATTTATTAAATAATCATATAATCTTCCACATTGAAGGGGAACAATTAGATATATAATGAATTCATCATTATTTTACCTACAACCAGCAGCCAATGAAACAAGCAAATCATATTTTTGAGATTTTTCTTTCACTATACACTTCTTTGGAATTTTAAAATAAAATATTAGATTAATATATTTTACCTTTAGGAGCAACTTGCCCTTTCTTCACTTTGGCTAACCATTTGGCACCCATCTTTGTCCGAGCACTGACTCTTGACCTAGATTGCAGACCCATCATCTGAACTAAACTAGGCCTTTTCCTTTGTGCCACTTCAATGCAATAACAAAAAATATTTATCAGAGGAATTAAAAATAATATAACAAAACAAAAGTTTATTTCTCTAAAACAAAATTACTTACTTTTTGTTTTACAAAGATGTAAAAAATACATAAACCATGTTGTGATGAGGTTTATTGGAGATGGAGAAACCGTTGTCCTGTGCATGTTTCGAATCAACTTGGCTAATCCGTACTTCCATTCAATATCAGATTGAGCCTTTAAAATAATAATAATAAATATATAGTATAACTTAAATCTTATAACTAGATAGTAAACCAAATTCTGAGAGAGAGAAAAGATGAACACATATGTAAAAAAATCTTTTATTTATCCCAAGGTGATTCAACATATCACTATAAAATGATTATAATAAATTAAATTATCACTAAAAGTATATATTTTACTACTAAATAGAGCAAAGGTAGAAAAAAATATAACCGAGTGGAAAAAACTAATAACTAAAATACGTACTTGTATCCTTTGATAAGTGTCACTCATCATGGCAATCAACAAATTAATCAATACGACTACAGATACCAGCATATAAATTCCATAGAAAAAAGTAAAAAAGTACACCGTCCAAGATGGTTGAGTCATTGGTTCGTTGTCTTTTCTGGCAATTATGGATGTGGGTCCAGTTTGCCCAAATACAGCAAAAGAAAGGAGCTCGATAGCTTTCATAGGATGCATTTTAACTAGGGGAAAAAAATAAAATAAAGCAATGAATAATAATCTTAAAATTTACAACTAATTAAATAAAAAAAATAAATAATACCTTCTTGGAAAATTCCTTCAGGTTCTTTCTTTTGATTTTTCAATTCTTTTGGAGTAGGATTTTTGAATGGTTGATTGAGAGCAACAATCTGCATCGAAAAACCAAAAACAAAAATTCCAAGAACAGCAAGAAACCTGGCAAGATCTTTCATAAGATTTCCAATAATGATAGCCCATGGTCCAAACAGGTAATGGAATGATAAGAAATCAAGAATCTGTACGCATGCCAAAAGAAATGCTAGCGCAAACAGTTGGTTCCTTAAGTACATAATCGTTGGCCAGTATACACGCTCGATAACTATTTCTAATAAATGCACGGCAACTCCGAGAATGCTGAACAGAAGCACAGCAAGTTTTATCCAACCAAGTCCACTTTTATCAGAGGGATTCGTAAGTTCTGATAATAGCAATCCTGAGAGCCAAACTAAAAGGGTCCATTCATACCTAAAAATAAAATATAAATATCACAATTTAAGATAATTTAAAGTCCATAATAAATAAATATTCATATGGGGAAGCAACATTTATCAACTTTGAAAGGTGTCTGAAATTTGGTTCAAGCAAACATTTCTTGTAATTTATAATTAAAGCTTACATTAACCTTTTTTGCTTCTTTTTTTTTTTTTATGAAAAAATTCTTTTAAAATCGCAATAAGGTGGGAATAGTCTGGCATAAAAAAATGTTCTTAATTAATTTTCTAATTTAAAAATAGTTCAACGGTCCTTTCAATCTTCATATAAGTTGGTATCTGTTTTTATGCCAGGTAAGTTGATAAAAAATTTAAGTCAGAAGGGGAAATAAATTATTCAGTATGCCAACAAAAAGCTCTAAGGTCTCTGAATCTGAATCAGAGATCACATTTTAACAATTGAAAATTATGGAGAAAAAAAATGCTGTTGAAAATATCAAAATTATATCAAACTCTTATCTTTTTTAAATTAACACCCTCTGTATTAAAATAAATTATAACCATCATATATACATGTTTTAATTTAAAAGTTTTGGCTTTGAAACATTTAAAAGATTTGGAACATCCGTTTTATGTATGCTAAACATAAAATGTTTTTTCATCAGAAAGTTTGATATATATTTTAGCTTGATACATTACAGAATTGATGTGCTCATTCTTGTTTTCAGTACAAAAGTTAATGAAAGATTTATTTTATTAATATACAAAAATCAGTTTTGTAAATAAAAAGGATATAACATAACGAGGTATTTATGACAAATAGTAAAACAATAGAATGAAATGTTTCTTACCAGTACGGCATAACAGTCGGTCTCACAGTCGGGTAAATTGGGGTGATGCCAACAAAGTCTAACAGTATCATTAAATGAACATGAGATGTTAGATAAGACATAAATTTGATGATCGGAATTTTGTAGTACTTATGCCCCAAAGGAAGTGTGAAATATACCCACACGGGAGGGCAAAATATAAATGTTAAAAAGAGAAGAATTGTTTTCCATGCAGTCCAGTTAAGGCTGCCTTGCCACAGCTCCTGGAAACAATAAAACAGCAGTATTTAAGAAGTCATTTTTTAATAGTATCTGGTTAAAATTTAATAGTAACTTTAGTACTGAAACCACATAACTTTAAACAAATTACTCCTTTATACTATATTTATAAGGTATAAACTTTATCAAACATCATAATTAAAACAATAAATTAGGACCAAAATTTTCATACATAAATGACAGAACTAACCTGCAAGTACCTTTGAACAACAGTATGAGCTATCACTTCTTTCTGTTCATTTTCAATTAGGACATCTAGAAACTCTGTTCCCTTCCGATCGGTGGCAGTTAATATACGACCAGCAGAATCAGCTCCAGCCGCAAGAGCTAACAATTCAGTAGCCATACTTTCACACATTTTACTGGCAGCAATCAAATCTTTAGCTCTTTCTTTTTCCTTAAAATTGATAAAAATACAAAATTATCTATTGCACTGTAAAAAGTCATTAAAAAAAAAAAAAAAAAAAATCATTTAGTGTCCACAGAGGACTCAGGTGTATTAAGATTATATACTAAAACAGTACCTCAAGTACTGAGGACAAACCAGCAGGCATTGGGAAAATTACCAATTAAATTCTTATCCTAATTCTGGTAGACAGTATGATCAGCACTGTGCTCCTTCTGCCTGATTCATCCATAGAAAAATGTCAGTTACTTATTACTTTACGATTGCGAGGAAATTTAATAGATCAAGATTTTCTATACCAGGTCTGTACTGCAGATGAAGCCAGCTATTCACTTATTAGATAAATTATGGTGGATATATTGTCGACTGTAGATTGAATAGTAAAAGTTAAGTGGGGTGTGGTTACAGATGAAATTGTAAACAAATAAGAAACCCAATTTTTTTTTATATGCTCTTGTTTCGGCCTAAGTTTCAGGAGACACGTATAGGGAATCAAATTCATCCACTATAGAAAAAATGGAATTAAAATAAAACTTAACGGATAAATATTGTATTTCATGAATCATGTTAACGATATTTTTTATTCATTTAAATGTTGTTTTCAAATTTAAAATTTACATATATATTTATTAGAAATAATATATTTTTTACAAGTACACAATGAGCAATGAAAAAAAGAGAGGCTTACAGTCAAAAGCGTATGTCTCCATACTCAAGTTCTTTAAAAACTGATGACAAAACCTAATTTTCTCTTAATTTGTAAAATGGCTTAAAAAAAAAATCTTTCCTCATTAATGCAGGCAATGAGATGTTTCACTGTATATATTTTTTATACATTACGTGTAAGTATAAAATATTTTACCTTGTTTGACAGGTTCATATAGATGCTGGAAAGTTTAGCAGCAACATCAACTGGAGCTGGAGATACAAGAACAAATTCCTGCATTGGCTTTCCATTATGCTTTTTACTGCAGATCATGAGATTGTATACAAACTGTAAGAAAAAGAAGATTCAATATTTTATTTTAATTCCACTCAAAAGAACAATTAATGGTAGTAGTAATACGGCAATGTACCCTTTTGTCTTCCATCAGTGAATATGTGTCATGTTCTTTTGTTAAAAGGTATTCCAAAACATCATTGTGACCTTCTGCAGCAGCGAACCAAATTGGAGCTGAGCCGTAATTCGTCTCTGATTTAGGAGAAGCGCCAGATTCAACAAGTAGTTTAACTACGCTCAACCAGCCAGCACGTGCAGCACAATGCAATGCAGTCCAACCGTTCTGCAATATTTAGATTTCAATTTAAAATATATCCTCATTCTAAATATGTAATATATACAAACTAATAATATTATTATTGTTATTTTGCACTCTATAAAAAGTTTGTGAATGTTAAGTATACCATTCTCCATAAAAAACCTAAAAAACATATCTTATGATATTTGATTTCAATTACTTTGCAAAGCAATAATATTATTTTTTTTTAAATAAAATTTAAAGTAATAATTATTTAAGAAGGTTTTACTAGGCAAGTCTTATAAAAATGGCACTGAATCAATTGTGGTTAGTAAAATTATAAACTACAATTTCACTCTTATTTTGAAATATTTTTAAACAAAAAATGATTTGGTTTTTGTTTTAATAACCAGACTAATATTTAAATTATTGCATTTTAAAGAGTTCCTTATGTTTAAAAATGTCAGAAAATAGATAATATTTTTTGGTGCCAATTGTGGGAAATTCCAGCTGCTATATCACATTTTGTCAAGAGGCATAAAAGAAAGAAAAAATACCACAGAAGAAATATGGTGTTTGTTTGAAATTTTGTATTTCAATCTTATTTTTATCTTCTTGTATTATTTATGAAAATAAATCTTAAATTACTAAAATACTGTAGTACTTAAACTACCTTATCTGTAGAATTTATTTCAGCACCCTGTCCAAGGAGGACTTCCACCATCTGATAATGACCATGCATGGACGCTATATGAAGACCAGTTTTACCATTGTGATCGACGCTTTGCAGGAGATCTGCAGACCTGCTGAGCAGAAGGCCCACTACAGTAATGTGTCCACCAAAGCAAGCGAGATGGAGAGGATTATATCCCTGAAAAAAATAATTTTTATCGTAACATATTCAACTCATAAAGTATTGTGTTTCACTTCAAAATAATGCTACTTTAAAAGGAAAACTTATTATTCAGATAATTTACAGTATCACTTTTATTTATTTTCAAGAACACTGTAAATATTTTTGTTTAAATAAATATATGCTAGATATTACTAGTTTAATGCATTTGATAAATCAAATTAAAATGACATCAGTAATTTCGACATATATCTAAACAGTTTCAATAATAATAGAACTTTGGAATATTTTGATTTAGAGAAATAATATTTGAAATACAGGGGATAAATCTTAAATGTTAAAGCAGTACTTTATGAAATATTGATTTTCAAATATTTTGTGATTATGTTGCCAAAGACCTATTTCAGCAGGTATTGGACTTAACTAAATAAAACATAAAATTCAAATAATAAAGTAAATTATCATAATAAGTTACTAAACACCAAATTCTTGTAGTAATTATTATCTCTGTTGTAGGGATTACAGCTTGAAGTAATGAACCTAGTTTTAAATGAACATTTAAAAAAATGTTTTTTCCTACTGAATTTTTTCTGTTGTATAAGAATTTCAGTTAGTGAAATCAACAGATTTTTCAAATATGAAACTTTTATTTATTAATTAAATTATTTGTTTTCTTCTTTTACATTATAATAATTATTATTTATGTCAAATTATGATTAATTTTGATAGTTTAATAATATATTGCAGAATTTCGATAATCAATCTAAAATGTCTACTGTTATATTAAAATAACACTTGTGATTACATTTTCAGTAGTTGCAGCTTCAACCTGGACGCCAGCAGAATTCAGTAACAGTCTTACTACATTTTCGTTTCCCGAATAGGAAGCCAGATGAAGGGGAGTCATACCTAATTAAAGATATAATTGGACTATTAGCAGTTTTCAATCATTCTCAAACCATCAACATACAATTTATTATAATATCAAGTATATATAACTCCCCCATAAAATATAGATCATCAAAATGATAAATTGTTAAATAGAAAATTGAATTTTCTATTTTTATGAATGTGTTTTAAAATACTCATTACATAAACGTAGACCAATTAAAAATAAGAGGTGTAGCTCTAATTGGTCAAAAATATTATTGAAGTAATAATGCTATTACTAATTAAAATTAACAATTAATTTTATCTAAACTTATAACTTTTAAATATTAAAAAAATAAAGTGAAATAACTAAGAACAATTAAAATTTAATTTGAGAAAAAAAGTGAAATTTTTAAACATAGCAACACAATTGAAAATGTATCCATTTTATTCATTATAAATTGGTCTGATTCAATTAAATAACAAAGAGATCCTTGTATTAATTTTATCATGAGTTGTTTCTTTAACTTCTTTTGCTTATCAATGAATGGATGTGAACTTTATTATATCTTCAAAACTTAGGTGGATTAAAAACAACGTTCCTAGTCCATAACGCGGCTAGTCCATTAAGTTCTAACATTTTTACAACTTTTTATTTTCTATTTCCCCATTTTCTAAGAAATGATTCAACTTGAGAAAAAAAAAAATGAAGATAGAAAAGTTACAATAGAAATTACCTGATTCATTCCCCAATTCACCGACAAGACTAGCTCCTTGTGGAGGATCAGACTTTACAGTTGCAGGTACTGTTGCCAACAATTCTCTCACAGTGTCTGAAAAACAACAGAAATTCTGCAATATATTATTAAACTATCAAAATTAATCATAATTTGACATAAATAATAATTATTATAATGTAAAAGAAGAAAACAAATAATTTAATTAATAAATAAAGTTTCATAATACCATTTAAAGTGTTCATTGAAGGCCCAAGAATATTTGAAATTGTAATTTAATAGAAATATAATTATTGACAAATGAACAAATATGAAGAAGAAGGAGAATAGTAAATTTAATTCTGGAACATATAGTCCCCTAAGAATAATAATAATTAATTGCTGAGGATGAAGGTAAGGAATTCCAAAACAAGGTAGCGCACATTATAAAGGATTTTTTAAAGGAAACAATTATATGAGAAGGAATATACAAGTTTGAGGGCTGGGATCTCATGTTCAGAGAATAGACAGAGGAACAAGAAATAATCAAATCAAGAAGATAAGCAGGTTTTTTGGTTGTAAAGTTTCGGAAAAGAAATACACCTGGGAAATATTGCCATCGGAAAACTGGATAGGGCCACTTCAAATCGACATACTGGAGACCTGAGGACTCCAAATATGAATTTAATGAAATAATCCATTAGTCTCTTCAATCTGAGTTGAAGCCCACCAGATAATCTGCCATATACATGGCAGCCATAATTAAAGTAAGGAAAAATGAGAGATCAAACTAGGAGCCAAGAGGCTTTAAGGGGATAAAATCAAGGAATCTCAGGAACTGTATGAGGTAACAACAGATTTTTGAATATTTTGGGAAATATGATTATTCCAAGAAAGTTACTGGTCAAAAATTACCCTCTCCTCTTCCCCAATTTCTAACGGAAGTTTGGAAGCAAATAAGTAGCCCATTAAGGCAGAGTAGGGAATAACAAGGAATGGAATCAATAAGATGCTTGGAATCAACGAGAATGACTTTGGTCTTCTCAATGTTTAGCCTCAAATCATTGTTAGGCGCCCAAGTGTTGGTACTGTCTATCTCTCCTTGAAGTCTTCAGGTGGTCACAAGCATCTCAGTAGAATGAAAGGACTGGTAAATCTGTAGGTCATCAGCATATAAGTGGTATTTTGAATAATGAATGGAATCAGGGATATCGTTAATATAGATCGTGAAAAGCAATACCCCTGCAACTAATCCTCAAGGAGCGGACGGATGCTCCATCATAAAAGTGCAGAACCGTGTTCCAGGCAACACCACAGTTAACCCAGTTTTATGTTCCAAAAATTAAAAAAAAATTCCTAAAATCATGTAAAAAAAGAATAAATCATTATTAACTAAGTGTTGCTTATTGGCAGCAGTGGGCATAAGAGAATCCAAACCTCTTAACTCACTGCTACCAACACCCCGTATGGCAGCAATGCTAGATAAAAAAAATAGGTAGGATAGGATAGGTAGGATAAAAAAAAAAAAGATCGAGAAAAGGGTTGGTGAAAGGGAGATTCGTGAGGACCACCATAAGTTAGTAAGAGGGTGTTAAATTGTTTTTCTATAAAGAATTGAACATCTTAGATAGTTTTCAACATCAGATTGTGGAACACTGAGATCGGAAACCAGATTGGAGGGAATTGAGGAGAGCCTTTTGCTCAAGAAAGGTATTAAGTTGTAAATGGTTTTGCAACAAGTCTTCCAAGTGGTTTTGAAAGGTTGGAGATACTTTTTTTTTTTATTGAATATTTAATAGTTGACCGTTGCATTATAAAGGAAGGAGATGGCCGGGGTGGCGGTCATAAATAGGCTAAATAGTGGCAAAAATATTTTATTAAAAGCCAACGTTTCGACCTGACTTTGCATGTCTTCTTCAGAAAGGTGTGTTCAGCTAGGAGTTTCACTTAGAACTCAAACTAAACATCTCCTTCATTTTCTTTTTTACTTTTTGTTACATTTTGTATTATGTACCCAAGATATTTAAAGATTTGAATTGATGTGATAAACCAACAGATAAATGGAGATCCATCTTAACAAATTATTTGTAAAAGTTATATAAATCATAAATTAAATAATTCATAATACCAGCTTGACCAAAGTATGCAGCCACGTGTAAAGCTGTTACGCCCAGTTTCTTGCTAGTAACTCTCAGAGATTGAGTAGACTTCATGACCTCAAGAACGTGTCCATGGCCATGTTGGGCGGCTAAATGAACTGCTGTGAAACCAGCCTAAAACCAAATCACAAAGGATAATCAACCAAAATCTCTTTAGAATTCAATACTAGTTGTACTTATGTTAAATAATAGTTTACAATAATTTTATTAAATTAATAAATTTATAACCATCCTGATTTTAAAAAATATCATATATTCTACTAGAGAGAACTACAATAATATTACATGGCTGCTCAACTGTATTGAATTGCTAAATCATACAGCATACCCACACATCAATCAAAAGATAATATTTAAACCCAAAACAAAAGAGAGTTAGGGAGATTCATTTTAATATATAGCAAATATCTCAAAAACAGTCTACATAATCAAATAAGTGAAGGCAAAGATTTATATTTGTGGTGATGGAGGTTTTCCGATGAGTCTATAATAATAATCTCGGCCATAATCTGCATCTATTCCCTCTCAACAATATTTATTCATTAATTGAATAAAACATTCACAATTTTAAAATTAAATATGTACATTTGTTACTATGTAAATAAGAAGAAAAACATACTAGATCATATAAGAAAGGAATACTGAAAGTAAAGTAGTGAACTGATTTTAAACACTTGATGTTATACACTTTTTCAATTAATAAGAATATGCAAATTAAATGCATAAGGAAACTGCATTAAATAAATGTACTTTTTTTCCCCCTTCTTCCCAGAACAATTGGTTTAGTTTTTTGTATCAACAAGTGTAAACAAAAACTGAACAATAGTATTTTTTATTTATATGTATGAATTTTTTCTCTAAGGAACCTTCAATTTTATTTTATTTTTTTATTTATTTACAACCCTGCCGTGCCTGATAGGCAATACGGGTTTTAGCAGCAGTGAGATGTTAAGCATTTCTGCGTAACAACACACTGCTGCAAGAAAAACAATTTCTTCAATTTTATATATATATATATTTTAACGCATACTCTATTTTCATCGGTAGGAGATGCACCAGCCCGAACTAAAACCTTGACAACATTGGCATGACCTCCTTCTGAGGCTAACTGTAGAGGAGTTGCTTCAGTAATTTTATTTCTTGCAGATATTACTCCAGCTCTATCGAATTTCATTAATTCTTCAATGACCCTCACAGAGCCTTGCATCGCTGCGATATGAGCACAGTTATTTCCATCCTATAATAAAAAAATATTATTAAAAACAAAACAAAAAAAATCTGCTTATTGAATATCTGCTATTTCCAACATGGGGTATGTTTTACTGCAGCAAATTATAAAACATTAAGTCTTTAATTACTGTAACAAAAATTTTAAAATTATTGGCAAACATGTAATTCTACTAAATAAACTTAATTCCTACCTTATTAAAATTCAAAAGGAATGAATAAAATATTCAATTAAAATAATTATATAAGTTAAGCAAATAGGTTAAGCTAAAGTTTAGTTTAACTAATACATATTTAGGGCTATAATTTTACTGTTGATTCATGTAATTCAATTCAACCATTAAATTCTAAAGAGAATAAATGTTCCAAAATAAAATTTACTTTTCTTCTTCTTCAATAAATAGATGATTTAATATATTATGTTGCAAAGAACTCGGAATTGGTCTCTATGTTTGTTTGTTTACATCAGACATTTTTATTGTTGATTACAAAGAATGCAACAATTAAAAACTGATTTATGGCTTTCATTTTGAGAACTTGAACCAATAAAACATTTTTAATTTCTGATGATGCCTCAATTCAGGGAAATTATTACAGGTTTGTTATAACTTATAGATGTTTTTTATTTTACTCTCAATAAAAGTAACACTCTTCACAATAACTTGTTTTTAGAAAAAAAATATAGTAGTCTGTGTGAAATAGGGACCTTAAGAAGATATTTGTTTTAAATAATTACAAAATATTGATCCAAATATTATATTTAATTAAAATATATTATCACACCTTTGTGGTAGCCATAACCAAAGAATGCTGTTGCTGAAGAAACAGTTGGGCAACTTCTGGATAGTTGTTTTGAGCAGCAACATGAATTGGTTTTTGTCCTCGATCGTCCGTAGCGTCTATGTTGGCTCCAAGCTCTAATAGCAGTTTACAAACTTCCAGTTGTCCAGCAGCTGCAGCTAAATGGAGTGGTGTCTGTTTCTTTAGGGTCAGGATGTCTATTACAGCATTGTGATCAGTGACCAGAAATCTAAAAGAGATATTAATTGATAATTTAAGAAAAATCATAATACTTTAGTGGGCAAATGATTAAATAAATAGATTTGACATACTTGCATAGATTGGCATAACCCATCATAGCAGCTAAATGGAGTGCAGTTCTTCCGACACGAGATTTGCTGTTAATAAATGCCTTGTGGGAAAGAAGGGAATCACACACCTGCAAATCAATAAAATACAATTATTTAACACTGATTAATGATTAAATGATGGTGAAATATTAAAACTAAACTATCTATAATCTGTAATCAACATATTTTAGAGCTATATTTACAAATATATATATATGTATATATATATATATATATATATATATATAATATATATAATATATTATATATATAATATACATATATTTTTTTTTCCTTTTTTCACATTTATCTATCTTTGGCATATCCCAGCAAAGGGTACTACTATTTTTTTTTTTTATTCAACAGTACAGGCTCTATATATTTTTCAATAGTGGGATCCATTCTGCACTTCTTCAACTGTTGATTTTCCTTACAAAAAGCCTATTGTCTTAACTGCTACAACCTGAGAGATACACTCATAAATAGACTAGCCAAAGTATTTCTTATTATAGAGAAATAAAAAACAGTTTTTAATTTTTCTTTTGTGGTAATTTCAATTGACTGATCTCCAACTAATTATTTTAGCTCAGGATTGATAATTTTTTATGTTTGTAGACCTTTCAATAAACTATTGAAGGAACATTTAACCTATTTAGGTGAGACCTTATGAAATGAACTGGCAGTACATCAGTGGAGGGTGGTTAGGTATCTCAAGAGTTAATCAGTTAATTTATTCAACTGTGTTGCATTGAAATGACAAATGGACTAAGCTCTGGTCAATTACTAAATATATATTAAAAATATGTCATCTTAGTCCAAGTTAGATAATATTGATCTTCTGTTGCTAAGCTAACTATTTTAGAGCTATATTTTCAAATAATGGCACATTTAACAGACTACAAGGAACCCATTGTCTTAACTGCTACAGCATACCTATCTTCCTATTAGCAAACTAAGACTTAACAAATGACAAATTTTCAAATATCAGAAGAAAAAAAAATCACTCACTTCTAAGTAACCCCTCTCACCAGCCAAATGAAGAGCAGATCTACCTTCGTTGTCAAACACATCTACCCTCGCATGATTATTAAGAAGAGTATTGACCATTTCTAAATGTCCCTGATGGGAAGCAATGAGTAATGGTGTCCATCCTTGTCCATTCTGTCGGTTCATAGCCTTTTGAACTTCAGTTCCAGACATCAATGAAATCATTTCGATGAGGATATCATTATTGCCGACAGTTGCACAATAGTGGAAGACAGTTTCTGAATTCTACAATAGAAAATAATGTATTACAAATGTAATATTAACTAGTAAAAGTAATTTAAAACAATATCCTGACATGGTCTCTAGTCATATATGACAAATAATAATTAATATAAATTGAAAAGAACAATGAAAGCTAAGCTAATTTGACTTAAATTAGGGAAAAGTTAACAAAAAGGCTGTAATATAGATGCTATAGGTTTACTATTTGTTCAGGAGTAAATATTAAAAAAAATATGATAATGAAACAGTTGGTTTTACTAGCTGTTATTGCAATGTCAAAACTAAGATTTTTTCAAGCAAGGCAAGCTTAATATTTCTAACCATTCATTCACTCCGTCACTTCAACAAAATGTGTTATATTAGTATTTTTGATAATATATTTTGAAATAAATATAAAAACAAAGCAATAAAAAACCTGAATAAAATAGTTTTGACTTTATCTAAAAATAAAAGTTTATTTGAAATATTCTGCTTCCAAAAGTCTGTCACCCCGGGGCAAATACCCTTCTGGTTTCCAATCACATTCTCAAACAAAATATTTATGAAATAGATGCTCAATAGATATAAATTAAAATACAAGTTGATGCAAACATAATTGAAATACAACACTTCTATATTAAAAAATTAACTGAATGAATTTAATTAAATTACTTGTTTGGTAAGAAGATCGACGTTGGCACCACCTTCCACTAAATAATGTACGACTTTCTTATCAGCATCCGGTTTATCCTCAGGAACTATATTTTTTTCTATTTGACCAGCATAATGCAAAGCTGTCGCACAATCATCAGTAACTGAATTTACGTAGTTAGTAGCAATCTGAAAAAAAAATGTTTAAATAGATATTAATTATTTTAAGAAACTATCCTGAAAAAGATAAAAAATTTTAAAATAAGTAAAATGAAGAAGTCTAATTTATAGATAGTTTTATTCATGAACATAAATTTTTCCTCGCTACTTATTAAAAACTGCGTCTTAAACATCTTGTATTGAAAAGTATTACATTTATTTATTTATATAATATCAAAATAATGAAGTAAAATATATGAACAAAATCAAATAAAAAATTTACCTTATTTAACTTTGTTTCAAACAAGAAAAATATATTTGGCAATCAAAATTAATTTATATTATTTATCTTGAACTGGAAGAAAATAACAACTGATTACATACCTCTGGCCCACTATTTTCTTTCACAAAGTGAATAAGATGTTCAACAATCTCACTTTTACAACCTCTACTGGCTAAATGAAGAGGAGTTTCTCCAATCTGCAAAAAATAAAACATAATTTATTTATAAAAAAAAAAAAATATCTGTACCACTACAACCCATGAAGGGTCTTGGATTCAGTACTATTTAGGGCAAGTACTGTTTCTTAGTCAACAGTTGTGCAAGGAGGTGATTTGACAGAGATCACGCTCAACCGTCAGGTTCTCTTCCTTAATTAGTTATTTAATTAAGGTTACTCACATTATAGAGGCTGGGTGTGCCCCAAGAGGATCTCCTGACCCCAGGGCGTCCCACGGCTCATGAAACAGAATAAATAATTTTTATGCCATGAGCCGGGATCCGAATGTGGGATCTTCAGCATTGGAAGATCAGTGCCCTACCACTGAGCTATTCTGCTCCCTTATTTATTTATTTGCTTGATTGAAAAAAAAAAATTGCAAAATAGACTTGCTTTGACAAGTCTTAGGCAAAAAAATAAAAGTAAAAATAATAATAAAAGATCAACTTTTAGAGAATAAATAATTAATATGAGATGGAGTTGATCGGGGGAAGAAGGGGGGAGGTCAAATATATTTATTTGAACGCACTCCCCGGCCAAATCCTCATATTGTAATCACAGTCAACCATCTCTACATGGGAGCGGGGTGGCCGAATGAGCTAAAGCGTGTGCACAGCACCGCGAATTGCCCGACAACCAGATATATGAAGTTTTGAGAGACGAAAATAAGTACGAGTTCGCGTCCCGGTGACGGAGGGGATTTTAAATTCCCAGCCCTCACCCTCTGGCCCGGGGAAATCCCGTGTAGCCTAAAATGGCAAGGTAGGGAAGAAAAAAATAAATAAATAAATAAAATTAAAAAAAAAACATCTCTACATCATTATAAATAATTAATGTTCTTCAATATTTCTTAAACTAAATCTGAATCAATAAATTAAATATTAGATTTGGGAGAACAATTTACATTTTCAATTTGCATAAATTAGCTCAAAAAGAATTTTTTTTCAAATAATTAAAATTCTATGATTGTTTCAATTTTAATTTTCAATATTCTGATTATAAACATTTCAATGCGAACACTGTATTTTTAATAACAATTGACACCACAAGAAAATTTTTGTTTATTAATTCTTTATATAAGCAATGAATTATCATCAATTTTATTGTTTAAATTATAATTTTGAATTCGAACAAACTTTAAAAAAAAGTTAATTGGAAATTAAATATTTACATTTGATTTACGTAGAGGGTCGCCTCCATCAGCTAAGAGAAGTATAAGGGTATTTAAATTGCCATGTTTTGCTGCAACATGGACAGAAGTTTCCCCATCATCTGTAGGCAAATTAGGTGCAGCACCTGATTTGAGTAGCATAATTGCACATTTGTCTCCATCTTCTACACGAGCTGCAATATGCAGCGGAGTTTCTTTCAGTCGTCCTCCTAAGTGAGTTAATTATTTTTAAAACAAAGCAAATTGAGAATCAACAATAATTTATATTAAATTTTATTACTAATTTAAAAACTAATGTAACGTAATATTAAAACTTATTCAAATTTAATTATACTAACAAAGTTTAGAATAAAAAAAAAAAAAAGAAAAGAATTTAGCATTAACTATCTGTTTATAATGGATATAAAATAACTGTGTTAAGTCTCTTTACGAGTCTCTTCCATTCTTCTATCTTTCTTGGAGTCTAACTACATTTAGAGACTTTTAAATTTTATTTTAAATCTATTTGAATAAATGTTTTTTCTTTGATCAATTTAAGTGCCTACAATGCAAGGAAAAAATGTATTATGGTATTATTAGCATCACTATAATTGCTCTTTAATTTATACTACATTTCATAATAATTTACAGTAATCTATTTTTATAACTTCCTTTTTTCTTTTTGGAAGATATTGGTGGAAAAGGAATCAGATAATAGAGTAATGAAGCAGGTATATGACAACAAAGTATTTTTCTGTTGGAAGAAGTATCTATGCAACAATAATTACTTACTACTAAGTAGCTACATAAAATAATACTTATATAGAAATTTATTTTTAATGCTTGGTCGAAATTCCCATACATTTCATAAAATAATAAAAAATACAAACTTTTAATTACATCTACGGAGAACAATGAAAATATTTTCATCACCATAAAAATAAGTCTGTAAATGTTTTATTAATGTTGATAGCTTCTCAGTTCTTAAAAAAAAATGTTTATAGAACTGAGTTAACTAGATACTTATACTTTAAAGACTTTTTAAGAAACCAAGTATCGAATCCATGTTTCAATAGTTATAAAATGTACAAATACCTCAATTATATGGCCTGATTTTTTAAAAATTTTATTACCTCTAACATGGACATCAGCTCCATATCCAAGAAGCGTTTCTACAACAGCTGGTTTGGCAGACTCGACAGCAATATGCAATGGGGTGTAATTATCCTGTAAGAAATAGTAGTCAATATATTTTGATTATTGATATAATATTTATAACACAACAAATTTAAATTACTTACACTGGTCGTAACATCAACAAGCTCTCCTTTCTGCAGTAAAGTGCTTATGATACCAACATGACCATATTTAGCAGCAGTGTGTATACTGCGAGCTCCTTTCTAAAAAACCATAGTCTTAATTAATAAAATATCAAACTTGTATTATAATAGAAAAAATATATAACTAGTTTACTTTGTTAGGCATATGGAGATAAACTCCTTTTTTGAACAACATGGTGGCACAATCAGCATGTCCATTGAGAGATGCAATGTGCATTAACGTGGATCCATCTTTAGTTCTTTCAAATATCGACGCTTTGAACTTATCTGCGAGAAGTTCAATGATACCTGCATGACCATATTCAGCAGCTAAATGCATTGGAGTACGATCTGGAAAAAAAAAAATTAATTTCAATATTTGATTAGAGTTATATTTAATTATTTAAAAATATATATCCTTTATTATATATCTAGAAATGACAATATGAGAAATAATAATTCTAAAGAAGATGCAAATACATGCCTAGATTGTCCGCAATGGAAGCATTGGCTCTAACTCCATAAAAATATTTGACCAAGGTCTCGTCTCCTTCTGCGGAAGCGATGTGCAAAGCTGTTTGTCCTTCCCCCTGCATAAAATATATTTAAAAAGAAATATGTGACATATTTAAAGAAATATGAGAAAATATTCAGGTGCCAAATATCATGATGTCAAAATATTAAAAACGGTAAATAACTGCTTATAATTATTCATTTATTTTTAAAACCAACATTAAGCTTCTTTATTTTATTTTTTTGTCTCTTAATACAATTGTATCAATAAAAGTTTTTTATTTTAATTTATTAACTATTATATAACATTTTTGTTTAATTTATTATAAATATTTTCATATTTATAAATTATGAATAATAAAATATTTATTCATATAGTTCATTAATATTAATTCTACTCAACTCCAATATTTTCCATATATTAAAAACAAATCAAAAGTCATTGTGTCAGTTCTCCCTCCTTAACTCCATTACTACCTTTATTGCATATTCACTATAAAACTTCGCAATTCAAGGCTGTTATTTTGTAAAAATTAAAATTAAAATCGTGTTTGGTCAAATCCTTTCCCGAAGGATGTGATTGACATATAGCTCTACAAGTTCTAAGATAGCTCTACAACTCCTGGGTGTTTTCTTTATGCACACCATTCTTTCTTCTTGTTCCATCTTTCCAAAATTAAACCCTGAACCCAGTGCAGCAACAGCTACAATTGTGTTGAAAATGGAGCAGGTGGGAAAATTGAGAACAAAATTTGAATAAAAGCACAACAAAACAAAAAATATATATTTCCAGTACTATAAAGCATGATAAGATGGATTAGAAGTATTTAAGAACACATTATTACACAATTGGAACATTTCTTAAGGAATGACAATTTTTCTCTCACTTTATTAGAGTGGTAAAACTTAATTATGTTCTTTATTGAAAAATAAATGTCATGTAAAAACATTTCGTTATCATTGTCAAATACACGCCTTGAAGACTTATTAACATAAATTTTGGTGACGCAAAAGTATTCGCGTCCACTCCCCAGAAGTTTTTGTGTTAGCAAGTGACTTTTCAGAAAAATATCACTACTTAGCTGTTTTAGTGGCTACCCTTCTTCTTGCATAATACTAAGGCCAAACGAATCGTGTTATCCGGAAGGCGGAAGCTTTCGATATTCACCTGGTGAAGAAATATAAAATAAATTCGAACTCCATATCCCTCTGAGATTAAAGAATTGTTTTATTTAGTTTGTTTTTAATATCCGTAAATATTCACAGGTCACAATGCTACGCCGAATTAGTAAGAGTAAATCCAGGAGCGGATTTCTTAAGGATTTTACGATGCGGAACTCGATCCTATTTCTATCAAAAGGGTTGTGGAATGCTTTACCAACTGTGACATCGATATTTCCCTCTATTCCACAAAGCACTCTCTTTCTCTGATTTGAATTAAAATAGATTTCACTTTAATTATGATGGACTTCAAGTTTTTCAAAATGTCCATATAGAGAAAATAAAAATTCTTCTAGTGTTGACAACACCCCTTTCAAATGACTAAAATCTCTCTTTATACAGCACCAATCATTCTCCATATTTTTTATTTCTAAATATTAACATATCGTATCCCTTCTTTACACGGGCGGATCTACAGGGGGGAGGCTTTCGGGCTGAAGTCCCCTCCCCCAAAATGGTAAAATATAAACATGTTTTATCGGAAAAAATACTAAAAAATTATCTCTTAAAGTATAATTATTCGTGTAATTACATTTAAAAGGACTTTAGAATCACTTAAACACCAGTTCGTATAGGTAGTTATTTTTTTTATTTTCAAAGTAATTATCGTTACTTTTATGGAAAAAAAAGCTTTCGGGCTGAAGCCCCCCCCCCAAAAAAATTAAATCCTGGATCCGCTAGTGCTTCTTTAGGAAAACGTCTCTCATAAGACAGTTTCCCACATAAATTACAAAACCACTATCTGTTGATCATTACAGACTATTTCCCTACTATGTCTCCTCTCTAACACAGGCGGATTTATGGGGGAGGGCTTTCGGGCTGAAGCCCCCTAAAATATTAAAAACTATATCTTAAAGTATTATTGTTCGTGTAATTACATTTAATAGGACTTCAAGAATCACTTAAACACCACTTCATATAGGTAGTTCATTTCTTTTTTTTTTCAAATTAATTATCATTATATATATGGAAACAAATCTTTCAGGCTGAAGTCCCCCTGCCCCCCAAAATTAAATCCTGGATCCGCTAGTGCTCTCTAAGGCGCATCAACGAACAGTACACTATCAAATAAACCAGTCATATTACACAAAATAAGCTTTTCTATACTAAGCAATCCAGTTTTCGTTCGAAATACAGTACACAAATGGTACTTATAAAAATTTGGTTGACATCCGCTTGGCCATGGATAGAAAGCTAAGTACAACACAGATCACATTTGATTTGAGAAAGGTATTCGGATAATTATGTCATTAAACTTTCCTTTTGTCGAAAGACCGATACCAATTTTCTTACAGCGCTCTTTTGTGGATCGAATATTATCTGGATGGAAGGACACAAGCTGCATTAGAACATGAGAAGAATCTGATTTTTTAACTTTAAATTGCGGTGTCTCTCAGGGACCAGTATTAGGACCTTTATTTTTCACAATGTATATTTCACATTTCTCAGACATATCAAAATACTCGAAATGTCTATATTTATAAGGACGAAATTGTAATTTACTACTCATGTTATTCCAGGAACATTGATGCTGTAAGTGTGCCTAATTTTGATATTTGAAGTATATGAAATAGATCTAAACATAAAAACTAACTATAAACCCTATTAAACCATAAACAATAACCTTTGGTTCTAATTCACATTTGAATGGTCTGATAAATCTCGCAATGATTATCTTAGATGGCACTGAAATAAAATATTCGAAAAAATTAAATTTGCTGAGTGTAAGCCTTACGTGTGATAACAGCTCCGGTGAATAAGTTATTAGGAAGAAACTTTTCAACAAATTTCTAGACCACCTTAAACTATATTGAGATTCACTACCACAGACTGTAGGTGAAAATTTAATTAAAGCATTGTTAATAGTATTTTGATTAATGCTCATTACCCTTTTCGTGCATCACAAATGAACTTAACTTCGAAACTGCAAACAGCATTAAATGCTTGTGTAAGACTCATTTGTGATATTCGTCTGTAATACCATATAATTTATACACTATAATAAATTGAAATAATTCAATATTCGAGAAGCTTAAATTTATAATCAAAAAGTATTGGCGAGAGTCACCTGATTTTAAATAAGACACCAAGAAAAACCATCATCAACCTTGTTTCCGTCTCGAAAGTAGTATTCGTACTTTAACATTAGTTTCAATGACAAGATATGATGGACATATCAGCTTGCTTGCATCAAGAGATAACGGTTCCATATAGGTCGCCGATGCAGCTTCTCTTACATTACTTAGCCCAGAGGAGAGAAGTGATGTTACAACATTTATGCCAGGTTTTTATAACATCGAAAATGCATTAAATGCAAAATTGGAAACTTCGGACTTACACATGGTTCTTGCATCAAGGCCCTCAACTGTACTTTGTGATCATGAAGTTAATTATTCTCGCACATAGCCAGCGTAATTCAGATAGTTATAACACGCAGTTAAATAAAGAAAGACAATAATTTATAAAGCATTACTGATGTGTTGCAGACTTGTAAGGAAAAATGTTTCAGTGAAGATATATAAATGCTTCCAAAGACATCAACTAAGAAATAATTTTATTTGAATTACGGCGTTTGCGTTTAAAGCAGCTCCATATAGCGTGCGGCCTGTTCTGTCAAACTTAAAAGGTTTCTTCCTATCTTGGCCGCGTTACAATAGCAAATAGGCAATAGTTTAAAAAAAATATAGAGAGAGCGCTTTAACTATTCGAAAATAGGGTAAAAAATATCGATAAACATGATTTCATTAGTCAATATGAAAATAATATGGGAATACCATATTCCATTCATCTTTTAAATAATAATTTTTAAATATAATAAGTAATGATATTTATTATATAAATGATAAAACCTCTGCCAAGTAAGATTAGTGTAGCTTCCTCACCAGTTCGATTGGTTAGGTACGTAATTCAAGATATAGACTTGATAATCTGTCTACCACATTTCACATCCATTATATGCTTAATAATTAATTATACTAATTTATATCGTTAAATGAAATTTATACTACACCATTTATACATTATTTTCCAAATTTGAATCGAATTGAAAGAACCTTTTTCAAAATAAAGACTTATTGCACTACATTTGCACATCCGTAAGTTGAAGTATAATTTTAAAGAAACGTGTGAAATTTCAAAAAATTTTATAACTACTTTATAATATGTTTACCATTTCCTAACATCTCTCCGAATTTGGACCAAATCGAATTTGCGGTGGTTGGAATATAGGCTATCAAGGAAAATACGTTCACACATTTGATTAAATTGATGTAGAAACATTTTTTCACTAAGCATCATTCTCCAACTTTGATAAAAATTGAACTAAATGATGGATCCTCACTATCAAGAGTGGATATATTGAAACGTATAAACAATATAAAATCTTTCGCAGTCAAACTGATTCAAAATCAGATAATAATTTTCATTTGCACAAATATTATTATAAAAGTGACCTAGAATACACGCCCAAGATGACGTGTATCTATGGGAAGCGGAGGTTGAAGGAATTTTATTTTCCAAGAACTATGGAGGTAAAAGGTTATTAATTAGTGGTTACACGCAATGATTTAAAAGGCAAATTTATTACGACTAATTAAGGTACGTTATCTCGAATCTTTGTCACTTCTCCATTGCAAGTAATATGGAGAAAGATCGGTAGTTAAATTATTAGAAGTGACAGAATATAACATGTACTGTTATCGTGAGAGACAATATAAACCATAAATTTTTTCGTTCCCGTTGTCATTTATTTAAGCCAACGTTTCGGTCAACTTATGTAATCCTTTTTCATATCGTAGATCACCATTGGTCCTTAATATGAAATTTTACAATCCCTCTACGTTATTAAGATTAAATAATTTGGCTATGATTAACATCAAAACAATTATAATATTTTTAAATTTAATTTTGTTACGTTATTTCATTATTAGATGAAAATATAATAAAGATACACACCCAGTAGCAAGAATTACACAGCCAGTGTCAGAATTATGCGTAATAAAAAAGACAAATTAGGGAAAACTAATATTAAATTATTTGAGAACAAGTACTTTAAAACGTTTAAGTTATAACTATGTAATTATGTTAGAGTTTTTCAAAAAGTAACTAATTCATAATATGAATCTAAACCGATTATTTGGTTTTGGTAGTTTGTAAATCTTTACGTTTTTTTTTCAAATTATCATCATTTTATACAATAAATCTGATCAAAATTTAAAGGGAAATGAAAATTTTGGTCATTACATGTTAACGGCTCAAATGCTTCAACCAAAGACGTGGAATCGTATGGTATATTTAATCACAAACATCTTGTCATTCACAATCAAATATTTATTCCTCAAGTCCGCGCAATACTTTGTCGTTCAAGACGGAGAAGATTAATAATTCCGTCTAGGCATGTCTCATTTTATACAAAGCTTTACCTGTTTCAAACAATTATTTCTTCTAAGAAGAATTGAAAAAATAATATCTGCCAAGATTAACCCGGAATGTAAAATGGCAGCCAAATAAATTGAAATTTTGGACTTTTTTGAGTAAAAAAATAGGTGCTTTCTAACGATAATATTAATATTTTATCAATCACATTCTGCGACGAAGAAGTAAGTAACATTATAAATTTGGTTCAGATATTCGAAGTCGGCCTTCAGAAACAGCGTTTCTCTATTTTATTTTGGATCTAAAGATAAAACAGTCACTGTAATAAAACCATTGAATTTAGTTTAGTAAAAATTGATCCACTATGCAACAAGTTCCTCAAAGTCAACAGATATCCTCACCAACCAATGCTGCAACCAAAAACACTTTTTTGGCGCCCATGTCAACGGCTCATCTTTTGCTTACCATGGGTGGTCGACACCGAGTTAGCGTTTCATTAATGCCTAACACTTGTTAAAGCGAAAATATTTCAAACTATGACCATCCTTTCTTTGAGATGCATTAATACAAAAAGAGCATGGTTTGACCATTAGGACTGATGTCATTCACTTTAAGAAACATATGTGTAGTAGTTTATGAAAGGAGTTTATTAAACAATAACAACTAGATATTAAATAAAGCTTGAACTATTACTTACGTTCTGGCCATCGACGGGCGCTCCGTAGTCGACGAGTATCCTGACCATGTCGATGTCCCTCTTCCTGGCGGCCAGGTGGAGGGCCGTGTCGCCGTTCTCGCTGGTGGCCCTCAGCTGCTCCAGAGTGGACTGGGACAGCAGCTCCCGGCACATGCTCTGGTTCCCGGCCTCCACGGCCAGCAGCAGCGGGATCTTCCCCTTCTGCAAATCCGAAACAGCACCGGGTCCAAGTTTGTCCTTCCATTTCCTCGAAGTAGGGACTCCCGCTTGGAGTCTGTTCCGGAGTATGAAATCCGGCAGGGACTCGTCAGTGTTCATTCTACCCTTGCTACATCGTTTCGATTTCTGTTACTCTCTTTAGTTTTCAAAAATGCTTAGAATATTGATTCCAATAACCGGCATTCCTTTCAAGGACAGATGATTTAAACCTGTAAGATAAGCGTCGTGGCATTTTGGTTCCACTAAGTTTTTTAAATTGTCTTTAATCCACAAGAATTCCAGATACATTGTGTAATCAAGTCAATCAATCAATTTGGGTTACGACTATTTAAACTAGTCAGACTACACTCAAGCGAGCTAATAAACAGTAATAATTGCAAGTTGAAAAGTGAAGTTACACCTTCTTACAGGGACTGTACCATATACGAGAGGTAGAATGTATCTCTACAGGTTTACTACACTCATCATGCTCACGTTTCACTAATTAATATGAACATATAAATGAGTTGAATTATAGTATTTATAGAAATGCGCTACGTAAAGAGGAAGGATGAGAGCCACTGCAGTGGAACTGTATGCAGTTGAGATATGACCTAGGACTTGAGCTAGCCGAGGCAGGAGGATAACGACAGCCGTGGGAAGGCACTAGGGACTCTGAGGACGAACTGCCAGGTGTAGGGGGGCGGGGAGGGGGCGGTGTCGGTCGGGAACAGTTTGGCTACACATGCAACCCTTTAGCTCACTGTAATAGTCTCGGTCCAAATGGCTCTGCGACCTCCCCAACCGTCTTTCAATCATCTGCTATTTCTTACCAGCCCACACACGTGCCCTCTGATCTTTATAATCAGCGCGGATTACCTTCACAATCAACCGCTTTACTTTCGTTTCGTTCATTGTGGACAACAATACCACATTTATTTTTTATTTTATTTATTTAATGAAATTCACAACTGTATGAACAATACAACTAATAAAAATTCACACATTAGAAATAATGACATGAACAGTCTTGAAGAGATACTGCTCAGTGGTAGCACTCCCTATTTAATTCTAGGTGAGAAGATTACGTGGCCATCTTCTTTTCAAACGCCTAGGGGGATTATCAGGAATCGAGGAAGAAGCAAGGCTGCAAACAAGTGGATTTAGATGGCACAGAAGTTTAACATGAAAGGATAGGTATCTGGCTCGGGCTAAATCAGCGACATAGGGAGCATTAAGGTCTTTATGAATGGTTTTATTTGTGACAAAATATGGATCATTAAGGGTTTTGGATTGTAAGAATTGGATACGATAGGAATTCGATGGTTTGGTAGAACCCTAAAGCTCAACTCCGTATGTCCATATAGGTCTTATTATGGTTAAGTAGATGAGCCTTTTGCAATTAATTGAAAGTTTAGAGCGTAAGTGTTGGAGCAGTCGGAAACGTCGAGCAGTTTCTTGTCGGTTCAGTCTCGTATGCGGATTCCAAGTGAGACGTTTATCTAAGTGGAGTCCTAGGTAGTGGATTTGTTCAACAGGAACAAGTGGAATATCATTGAAGAATATTGTAGGACAAGAAGTTGTGGGTTTACGACGAAGGGTAAAGGTAATTTGATGGATTTATTGGAATTGATTATTATTCTCCAGTTATGACACTATTCATAAAGGTTTGTGATATGTGATTGAAGAGTTTGGGATGCAATTAAAGGGTCATTATTAACAGATAGGATACAAGTGTCATCTGCAAAGGTGGTGATGACCGTTTAATACCACATTTACAACAGAATACAGTTAAATAACGATCGATTTAATTAGAGTCCACAAAAATGGTAATATTACTGCTTTGATCGTCTCAAGGAATGTTAAGTTTTTGTTCGAAAGTACTACATCTGGAACAATGTGCTATTATCAACTTCAATGTGATAGCAGCTAGTATGTAGATAAAAACATAGCAAAATGTACATGGAGTAGCTAACTATAATTTTTTATGGAGCACACTGTTGGGCTCAAGAAGATTGAATAAGAGAGTAGAATCAAATACACCTAACAAATAAAGCATGTCTGATATGTTGAATAATTATGTCTCCAACAAAGATGCTTTTCTTGATTGTTTATTTGGATAGAATTTTTGAAAATAGGAAGCAGTTAAGTTGACTTAACAACGGTTATTTTGAGGCGGGATCGAATTTTCGGGTAGGAACTTATTAATAATTCTACATCAATTTCCCATTGAATTCGTAACTCAATCCTGATTGAATGACTCTCTGCAATTCATTGACCAGAACATTGAGAATATTTGCATTGAATCGAGGGGACTACAATAGGATTGCAAGGCTGCTCGACTGTGTCGGGTTGCTAATGCACACAGCATGCTCATCAGTCCAATAAATTATACATAAGAAAACAAACCAGAGGAAATTAAATAGGGAATCTTTATTGCATATTTCAACTAACACTTGCTCAGACTTGTTTTCCTCCTAACGGTCATGTTCATAGAACTGAAAAAGCTAAGGCAATTGTCATGTTCATAGAACTGAAAACGCTAAGACAATTGTCATCTTCATAGAACTGAAAAAACTAAGACAATTGTCATGTTCATAGAACTGAAAACGCTAAGACAATTGTCATCTTCATAGAACTGAAAAAACTAAGACAATTGTCATGTTCATAGAACTGAAAAGCTAAGACAATTGTCATCTTCATAGAACTGAAAAAACTAAGACAATTGTCATCTTCATAGAACTGAAAAAACTAAGACAATTGTCATCTTCATAGAACTGAAAAAACTAAGACAATTGTCATGTTCATAGAACTGAAAACGCTAAGACAATTGTCATCTTCATAGAACTGAAAAAACTAAGACAATTGTCATGTTCATAGAACTGAAAAGCTAAGACAATTGTCATCTTCATAGAACTGAAAAAACTAAGACAATTGTCATGTTCATAGAACTGAAAACGCTAAGACAATTACTATTAATCGAAGGTTAATATTAGTGCACAAGATGATGATGGATTCTCAGTAAGTCCAAATACTTTCTCCAATGCTATATAGCTGGGTCTATTCAATACCCAGTTTCTCCAAAATATTACTTGTAAGAGGGATAGTACCCCTGCTTCAAAGTAGAATCTCCGGGTATGTGTATTGGTATTAAAGAACTTAAATCAAACCTGCACCATTCCTAGCGGCTCTTGGATTCAATACTTTGAAAGGAAGTATTGTTTCGAGACCAACGGTTGTGTAGGGATGTGCTCAGACCGAGGTCACGCTCAACAGCCAGGTTTTCCCACTTAAACAATTATTTAATTAAGGGTAACCAGTTTAAAGAGGCTGGGTGTGCTCCGGGAGGGTTTCCTGATACCAGGGTCGATGCTGGTGTAACAGAATAAATAATCCCCTTCCATGGCTGGACTCGAATCCGGAATTCGGATTATAGAAGTACAGTGCCTTCTACAGCTACCTCCCTATTTATTTATTAATATGTAGATAATAGGCAAGGTTGGAATGCTTTATGCATAAAATAATCTGAACATGGATCACTGAAAACAGGGTGCCCATTCTCCCCAAGGCCGATGAATAAACCTTCTCCCACCCCTCCCAAGATACTTTATTCCTCTCTTCTTCTTAAAAACGGTGCAAACGAAAGTAGAATTTGAATATTCGTAGATTATATACCATTACACATCCTGCGGTCTGTTCCATGATTCCACTTGTCTTTTGATTTGAAACTTTTCATTTTGAAAATTCGTAATCCCATCGGATTATGCCCCCCTCAAAGATTGAAAACCTCGTCAAAAAGTGGCCCCCTCATTAATTTTGATGGCGCAACTAGATCAGTAAGACTCCCTTCTGGACACCTCTGATTGAAAATATCTCAAATTATTTTAAATAAAAAATCTACAGTACCTAAAATGAGCAAAACTGATTGTTTCTAATTAAATTTAGTAAGGAAATTAAAAATAAAATTTTTAAATTATCGAAAGAACTGAATAGATTCTTTATATATTATAAATTTAAATAAATCATACTTACAAAACTATACTACAAAATCGGCAACATATCTATCTATAGTTTATAATGACTTTGTATAACGCAGGGATGCCCAAAAGGAATTTCATGGCACGAGTTGGCATGAAAATGGCATTCAAATTTTTGAGGGGAACATATTTTCACGGAATTTTGAATTTTTAGGAGAGACATTTTGATTACTTATGAATTTTCAGTATGAAAACATTTAAACAAAAAGACAAGGGAATGTATGTATGGAACATACTGCAGGAAGTGCGATAGTATTTAGTATAAGATTTTTCTAATTCTACTTTCGCTTTCACTGTTCACTTTTAAGAAGAGGTAAGCAATAAAATATTTTGGGAGGAAAGTGGTGCGCCATCTATCTTGGGAAGGATGGGCACCCCTGATGTAGTAATGTTGTTAATATGAACTAACACAAACCTAGCTGAGATTATAATACAATAAACGTTACAACAATTTCCCCTTAATACAACATACAATAATTATATAATGATGGGATTAATTATTAACATATGTTACCCCATCCTTGCTGGTCCTGATGTCCCTGCCGGCGCTGGCGAGGAGCGCCCTGAGGATGCTGGTTGCCGTGCCAGTCTGCCTGCTGGCCACCAGGTGCACTGCAGTCTGCTGCTTCGGCTGCATCAATTATAAAAGTCGTATACCAGAAAAATATTACATTACTAAATACTTTTTTAATCCAAACCTATCTGTTACTTAACTAATATCAACCATGTCTCAGCGAATATTACTTTTTCACTATAGATTTTCATTGAGGAGGTTTCATAAATGAAACTGAGCTTTTGGATCTTAATTTTGTTTTTGTGCTAAGACAATTTATATAAATACTTAAAATAAAATAGTTGTTTTGGATACTCACTCCTCCTGGGGCATATACGTCGACTCCTTTCTTCGTCAGTAGCAGCTTTACCACATCTTCTCTCGAGTACATAGCGGCCAAATGGAGTGCATTATAGTTGTCCTAGAACAAAGGATTTATTATCAATATATACATAAGCAAAGATCAATCAATTCAGTACCTTTTCCTACTCTATTTTTCAACCGATTTTCTTTTTTTACTTACTAGCTATCGCTAGGAAAATTTCGACTAATAAAGAGGGGAAGTTGTCAAGTTCGAATTACAGAATGTCCTCTCTCCCTCTTGTTATGAAAAGGATTTCGAGTTATCGAACTATCAAAATACAGTATTTCTTCGATTTACGGAAGTTAGCAGTTGAAGAGTTCGAATTATCGAAAAATTCAAATTATCGCGAATCGATTAAAATAAAAAAGAGAATTGAAATAAAGTGCATATAAATAAAAATTTAAAAGTTCAAAGCTGCTAATCTCCGAAAGTCCTTCATCAATTGCTTTTTCATAACATCCGGTCTTTCGTTTTGATATGGCGGCCAAAAACGTGTGTCGCTATAGACCAGGAGACTCCAAAGTACGGTCAGCATGCATCTTGATCTCATGGTAAAATTTTAAAAAATATAAAATTTAGTTAGTTATTCAATCATTTCGCTCTAACGTCTTCAAAAACTGTACGATATTTGGGTTTCCACTTGGACAAACGACTGACATGGACATACCACATAAAACAAAAAAGAAAAGAACTTAATCAGCGATACGGACTTCTTTCTAGGCTACTTGACAAACGTTCTAAATTGTCTGTGACTAATAAATTAACTATTTACAAAGTCTTCATTAAACCACTTTGGACATATGGGATCGAACTATGGGGAAAAGAAAAGACATCAAATATAAAAATTATCCCAGTCAAAAGTCCTTCGGAAAATTGTAGACGCACCCTTTTATGTTTCAAACCTCACGTTACACACTGACCTTAACACTCCTTTCATCACGGCAACTGCCACTGACCGCCTTAATAATTTTCATGACAGACTGACTCTAAATTCCAATCCACTTACTCAAGCTCTATCTACTTCCAGAAATTTATATAATCCGCCCAGAAGACTGCTGAGGCGCTGGCCAAGAGACTTATTGTATTGAGCTACTTGCTGCATTATCTTTTTTTTGTGTGTGTTATTATTTGTTATATTACTATTGTTTTTTTTTTGTCTTTTTGTTTTGTTATTACTATTCTTTTCTTGATATGCTATCATTTATTTTCCTTGATATCATATTTGCTGAATACTGAGGTAGATGGCAAATTTATTGTGAGCCAGGAATATGTGTAGATTAATAAATATAAATAGTTAATCATTCAAACAGTGAGTTACTAACATTTATGATATAAATAGTTTCTCTTAGATAGCTTATTTCACAACTGAAATGTCACTTGTAGAACAAACTTTTATTTTTTATCACAAGCCATGGCCTGCGGGACTTAGTGGGGGTCTCAATGTGGCCCATGGGCTAAAAACGTTTGCATACCCCTGCTGTAGACTATAGCGCCAAAACGGCTATATATAACGATTTTAAAGAAACTTGGCTAAAGTCTTCTCCTTAGAGCCCTATTAATTTATGCATACAACATACTTCCCATAAAGGAGCCTGAAGAAAAAGTAACATTGAATTCAAACTTTTGTTGGTGTATAACTCAAAAAGTAAACAAATGGTTCTGAACTGTTTATATTTTAAGAGATCGGAGTATCCAGGGGTTAGTGATGATATAGAAACGAGCTGGAAATATTTTAAGTCTAAGTTGTTAGAAGCTGCTGCTATAGTTTGCGCAAAAAGTAAAATAGAAGCTGAAAACAAAATAACTGCCTGGTGGAATGATGAAATCTAAAGAGTGGTGAGAGGGAAGAAACAATTGTGAAAAAACACCTTGAAAACCGAACCCAAGAAACCTATGAACAATATAAAAGGAAGAAATTAGAGGTGAAGCGAAAAGTAATGTATGCAAAAAAAAAAATCTTGGAAGATTTCGGAAACGAAATTGAGGGAAATTATGAAGGAGACCAGAAATTGTTCTTTAAGGTCTTGAAAGGGCTAAGGTAAGCTTTTTCTTGCTCCAGTGGTAAAGCACATAAAATATAAACAGGGAAGTATTCTAAGAAAAAACAATGAAATCATGAAAAGGTGGAAGGCATATTTTACGGAATTACTAGTGGAAGAAAGCAGCGACCTCGAAAGTGAGCCTGAACAAGTAGAAATGGAACGAAGATGGGAAGAGGATGACCATATAGAATAAGAAGAACTTTTAGGAGCGACATTAGAGATGAAACTGTAAGCCGGAATTGACGAAGAAACTCCCGAAAAGTTGAGATATATGGGTCAAAAAGGTCAAAAGGTTAATCTACACTTGCTCAACTCAGTGTCGAGACAGAAGAAAATACCCAAAGAATGGGAAATAACTGTCATAGTCCCAATTTTTAAAAAAGGCGACAATAGTAGTATTGCCCGAAATCGGTCTTGGTCTTGGACCCAGGCTGCCTAACTGTTGTAAGACCAAGACCATGACTGGTAAAAAAATCGATTTTTAAAAATAAAAATTACGGGAAAATAGTTGACAATCTTAGTTATTATATGTTAAAAATTGGTATAACCAATATACTTTTGCATTTAACTCCTATAATTTTTCATTCTTGCTTAGTTAGGTTTCTCCTGTCTAAAAAATTACAGTAATATGTCTATAGTAATAAGGTAATAAGTAACTGTAAGACTGTTGCGAGACTCTTGCGCAAGACCAAGACCATGACCAAGACTCGTCTCGTTCTCGCATTTGGACAACACTAGACAATAGAGAATAAAGTAACCACCGGGGTATCTCTCTCTTAAATACTCCTCGGAGTCATGGACCCTAACTTCCAGACATAAATCAATGCTTCGGGCCACCGAGATGAGGTTTATCCGAAAAGTCGAAGGAAAGGCGAGAAGAGACCGGGTCCGCAACACAACAATAAGGACAAAGCTCAAACTAAAGCCCGCCACGGAAGTAGTAGAACAGAATAGGTTGAGGTGGCTTGGTCATCAACTGTGTATGGATTCAAGTACTTATAATACAAGAGTGGGAGGTAAAAGACGAAGAGGAAAATCTACATTAAAGTGGGAGGACGGAGTTCACCCCTTTCTTCAGGAAGCATTTACAAAAAGAGGTTTAGATCGGTCCAAGAGGAAAGAGCTGGTATAAGACAGAGACAATAGGGTCAACCACTACAGAAAGTCTCCTCAGGGTATACGAGGATCAATTATGATGATTATGAAGTGCATATCAAAGTGTATGTATGAATGTGTAAGAGAAGAAAAAATGTTGGAAACATGCGAATTTATATCTGTTTTCCTTAAATTTACAATAATGATTATGGTCGAACTTAGACTATGAGGCGAACACTAGTTATTGTAGATATATCTGCTATAATGGTCAATATTAAATAACTTTATTTGTTATCTCATGATAAAAACAAAAATGAATAATTCTGTTGTTATAAACATCATTTACTTATTTATTATGTTATAAATCAATGAAGCATTTAACAAAATAAAAAAAGTCTGTCAAGTAAGGTCAGTATAGCTTCCTCACCGTTTTCATTAGCTAAACATTATGTATATTTCAAGGTCTATAATTTTTCATGTGGGAATAAATTCTCCGGGAGAAGCAGTTTTCAGAAATACAGTAATTCCTCAACAATCGTGGGTTTGATATTCACGAATTTAGTTTAGGAAGAGTTTCACATTTGCGAATTGCGTATTTGATGGTTCGTGATTAGAAAAAAAAATCCCAGTACATACTAAACATGAATATCGCTACTGTTAGTGCAAAAGGTCGTATGTAAAAAGTGTGTGGTTTACAGGAGAGCATAAACACTCAACATGATACGCATAAAACATGATGTATAAGTATAATATCATAATGTATTTCCTTCTGCTATTTACCATAGTATCATACTACCTATACTAGTTGCAGACTACATAATGTAACCTTTAGCACCAATAGAATAAAAAATGGAGAAGTTTTTCAAACGACCTTTTGGACTAACATTAGCGATATATACTTAATATGTATGTTTTCACTCGTAAAATGGATAGAACAAAAAATCCATGGGAAAAAATTTTGGTTGCTTTAAGTTATCGAGACTAATATTTTCCTTCAGTCAGAATAAAACTAATTTAATGTGTTATATAAAAATATGAGTGAAGTTCACACAACTTTGATATTTAAAGAGGAAATCGAGACCATAACGAGCTCTTTGAGCTTCAATAGAAACAAAAAAAATCACAAATAAGATTTTTTTTTATAAACTCAGTAAAAATTAAGTATCATTTAGTGAAAATTACATGAAATCTAAGTGAAGGCAGTAAGTGTCATTCCAGTGACGTTTGGAATTGACCAAAAAATACAGTTTAAATTAATTTTTTTAATAAAATCTAAATTTTTTTTAATTTCATAAAAATCTTGTATTAACCTAAACTCCATTCCATGTGATCAATGCCTTCCACATTTAACGACCACTATATTATAATAGTTCTTCATATTAATTTTAATTATTATTTGCAATTAAATGAAATTGATACCAGGAAATTTCTATACTATTCTCCAATTTTGGGTCAAATCGAACGAGCAGTTTTCAAATTATAAGTGTGTCAAATAATGCGTTTACTGATCCAAAAGCGGAAGTATTCTTTTTTTTTTTTTTGAAAAGTGAACAGAATTTGATAAAACTGATATATAGCTGATTATCTGTATATCAATCCCTACCTTCTCTCCAAATTTGAGCCAAATCGAACGTTCGATTTTTGAAATATATACGTATCAAGGAAAACATGTATGTGCATACATAAGATAAAGTAGTGGACAGAATTCAATAAAATTGATACTGTATTATTTGTTTACTAATATCTAAATTTTCGCTAACCTTGAGCCACATCGAACTGAAATATTTGCATATCTAAAAAAATTAATTTACGCGTGAGCAAGCGGAACTACTGAATATAATTAAATAAAATTGATATGGGACCATTTAGATACCAACCCGCACACTTCCTAAAAATTTCAAATGAACGTCAGTAGGCGTTATGTCTGTTACATCGAT